AGTGAGATTGATTAGGCGCCCACGCGCCCACGAATGAATTGGGCGCCCAAAACGGGGTGATAATCTTCAAAAAAAAAAAAAAATTCAAACAAGTCGCACTCTAACCCGATTCCGGTACCGTTCGCCGTGGACTGTCAAGTGTAGGTACATTGGCGCCCTCAGAAGCTCCATCGGCGCCCCAAGAAGCCCACCCCTTAACAACATGGAACCATACAATTCGGATGTACTTAAATTGTCAGCCAGCAAGATCAATCCACGACAAAAATCTATGATTCATTTGTTGAATGGCAAAGTAATACGGATAACACCCACTGATATATTAAACTTGAACATTTCTGTTCTTAATGTTGACTTTGTGAGTCTTATAAATTTCGATTTAATCAAAACAATAAATGCCGAAAACATAAAGGACAAGGGAATATACGGAATTCTGGAAATACATTAACGGTACAAGGTGTTATCTCCCTTTATAGAAAGTATCCATAATTATTGATAACAGTATTTAGTTTAAACAATTTATTCGATAAATTGAATAGGATTTAACAACAGACAAGGGCCTATATAAGTTCTCCCATCAATTATTTCTACTATAATATCTGTAAAAGATTTGAGGCTAAAGCTCTTTGTGAACCACCAATGTTCAACAATTGTTGTTTTTTTTCCATGGGGTTCTGTGGTTGTAAAATTTGATTTATTCGGAACAATATGTTTTTCCAGGGTTAAGCTGTGACTAAGTACAGTGCCGGGTGTAGATGAATAGAATTTCCAAGCCAGGGGCACAGATCGCCAAAAATTAGTGGTGGGGACTATTGGTTTTTTTTTAAACTAGACGCTCTAAAACGCACTCTGTGGGTATTTTCAGCATCATTTTCTGGCAAAATGATACGAAATATAACCGCACGCCGTTGGCGTGAGCTGCTAGAGGTTGGTGGGGGGGGGGGGGCTTTTGCAATTTTTTTAAGTACAGTGCCGGGTGTAGATGAATAGATTTTCCAAGCCAGGGGCACAGATCGCCAAAAATTAGTGGTGGGGACTATTGGTTTTTTTTTAAACTAGACGCTCTAAAACGCACTCTGTGGGTTTTTTCAGCATCATTTTCTGGCAAAATGATACGAAATATAACCGCACGCCGTTGGCGTGAGCTGCTAGAGGTTGGTGGGGGGGGGGGCTTTTACAATTTTTGTAATTTTTGTTACAAAATGATGTCTAAATATTCATTCTCAGCGATTCTGGGGAGTTTTTACCAATAACAAAATAGTTCAGAGAGCAATTTTTTAATCGAAAAAAAATTCAATAAAGTGTTTAATATATTTAAAACTAAAGAACAGTACACTTATATCCACTATGCCCGTTTCTTTTCCCTTTGTCTTCTTTCTGGACGGCCCATGACAAGTTTAAAAAAATGTCTTTTCCGATAAATTTCCTAAATTTCTAAACCATCTTCAAAACAGCAAAAAAAATTTCACTTGTGATAATGAGTACACGATTCTTGGCTTAGCTTACTGTACTAAAAAAAAATAGAGGGTTCGAGTCTTAATTTTTAGATTTAATTGCCTATATTCCACAGAGAGAGATATAAATCTGTCCTTAAAAATACGTTTATTTAGTATGGCCGCAAATCTAGCAATGAAGGGTTCCCCTGATATACAAACAAACTGGTGATTTATCATCCAGTATACCAGATAAAAACAATTATTTACTGTTATAATATGAATTATCACTTATTCCCTATTAAATAAAAATCGGTCACCGGGTGCAGCTGTACAACTTAAGGACCCTGGCCTTAAGTGCCTGGGACCAACTCTACACTTTTTGAAATGTCAATAAAAGCTCTGGAATGATTTCAATTTCAGAAAATAAACAGTAAGCCAAACATCGAAAATAACGGAAATAAATGGTGGGTACACAGTATATCATGTCCCTACCACTAAAAATATTGGTAGGGACGCGTCCCGGTGTCCCCACCGGGATCTGCGCCCATGTTCCAGGCTATTCAAATTATGACGCCCCTGCTAACAGATCACCCTCACGACTAGGGGAAGATCACTAGGCAAACCTCGGCATTTCCGATACTCTACATCTAGCATCGGCTATATGACGGTAAGTGATATGTACCTACACCGATACAATTGCGATGCGACTACTTATTAGGAAAAATCGCCGCTTTTAGAAAGAAGTTCTCAGAACTGCGTCGTTCGAAGAGTGTGCAGAATTTTCATCGCAAAGTTGTCCTTGTTTAAAGAAAATCAGTTCAACTTGAAAGAAAATCATCTTCAGACTTTTTATACGTCCACATTCATAATGTGAACGTATTATGCCGTCGCCCCTGTCTGTGTGTGTGTGTGTGTGTATGTGTGTATGTGTGTGTGTGTGTGTGTGTGTGTGTGTGTGTCTGTGGTTCGCCTACAGGGCGCAATTCTTCATGGATTTTCTTCAAACTTGGTATACTTATTCCTTATACCCCAAGGAAGATCCCTATTGTTTTTGGTGCATGCCCGACCCCCCGGGGCAGAGCCACGCCCATTTCTAGTATTTGTTTGTTTGTCGTCTACAGGCCACATTTCTTAACTAATAATCTTGAAACTATGCATACTTATTCTTTGTACCCTAAGGAACATCCCTATCGTTTGGGGTGCATGCCCGACCCCAAGGGGCAGAGCCACGCCCACTTTCTTTTCTTTGTATGTCTGTGTGTCGCCTATAGGCCACAATTCTTAATCAATCGTCTTGAAAATTTTTCATATGAATTGCTTATACCCTAAGTATGATCCCTATTGTTTTTGGTGCATGCCCGACCCCCAGGGGCAGAGCCACGCCAATTCCTTATATTTATTTATTTGTTTGTCATCTACAGACCGCATTTCTTAACGTATCATCTTGAAACTATGTATACTTATTCTTTGTACCCCAAGGAACATCCCTATCGTTTGGGGTGCATGCCCGACCCCAGGGGCAGACCCACGTCCATTTTCTTTTCTTTTTATGTCTGTGTGTCGCCTATAGGCCACAATTCTTAATCAATCGTCTTGAAAAATTTTCATATGAATTGCTTATACCCTAAGTATGATCCCTATTGTTTTTGGTGCATGCCCGACCCCCAGAGGCAGAACCACGCCCATTCCTTATATTTATTTATTTGTTTGTCATCTACAGACCGCATTTCTTAACGTATCAACTTTACATACTTATTCCTTATACCCTAAGGATGATCCCTATTGTTTTTGGTGCATGCAAGCCTCCCCGGGGCAGAGCCACGCCCATTTTTTGTATTTGTTTGTTTGTCGTCTACAGGCCACATTTCTTAACGTATCATCTTGAAACTTTGCATACTTATTCTTTGTACCCTAAGGAACATCCCTATCGTTTTGGGTGCATGCCCAACCCCCAGGGGCAAAGCCACGCCCATTTTCTTTTTTATGTCTGTGTGTCGCCTACAGGCCACAATTCTTAATCAATCGTCTTGAAATTTTTTCATATGAATTGCTTATACCCTAACGATCATCCCTATTGTTTTTTTACCCCCAGGGGCAGAGCCACGCCCATTTTCTTTTCTTTTTATGTCTGTGTGTCACCTACAGGCCACAATTCTTAATCAATCGTCTTGAAAAAATTTCATATGAATTGCTTATACCCTAACGATGATCCCTATTGTTTTTGGTGCATGCCCGACCGCCAGGGGCAGAGCCACGCCCATCCCTTATATTTATTTATTTGTTTGTCATCTACAGATCGCATTTCTTATCGTATCACCTTGAAACCTAGCATACATATTCCTTCTATCCTAAGGAACATCCCTATTATTAGTGGTGAATACCCAACACCCAGGGGCAGAGCTACGCCCACTTTCTTTTTTTATGTCTGTGTGTCACTTGCAGACCGCATTTCTTAATCGATCATCTTGAAAACTTTTTTATACTTATTCCTTATAGCCTAAGGCTACTTTTTATACTTATTCCTTAATCCTAAGGCCGACCTCTATTATTATTTTTGGTGCATGCTCGACCCCTTGGGACAGAGCCACGCCTAACGTTTGTGTGTCCTGTGTTTTGCCTACAGACCGCAATTCTTAACAGATCCTTTTGAAACTTTGCATACCTATTCGAAACGTCATGCTTTTAGAATAAAGACATCGATTGTTTTAAAATAAAAATTGTGTTCTGTTAATGTGAACGAAGTGTTAAACTGATAGCAGTCCTACAACCCAGTTTTATTTCACAGACCCTCAATGCAAACTGGACCATATCAAACAAAACAGGAATGTGGACGTATATTGCTGCGTTAGCGATGCTCTTGTTTGTTGTTGGCGCGGTTACAAGGTTTAATAAGTGAAACAATTTAAGGGCCATGTAGTCGGTAGAGTGTTCACTAGAAAGTGCTTACGACGCACCGACGGACGGACAGGGGGCGACGGCAATACGACCACATTTCCATGTGGGCGTATAAAGAGGAAATAATGGACTTGCGTCTTACTCGTCAGGGGGGGGGGGGGAGGGTGGATGGCCGAATGGTTCGCACGCGCGTGCTTTATCATACGGTTTGTCATTGAGTCAACGGGCGGGGTTTCGATTCCCTGGTTGTACGTGACAAGGAGTAGGGTCGCCTGTCCAACCTCGTGGGTTTTCTCCGGGTCCTCCGGTTTCATCCCACTGCTAAAGACCCCTACGCGCAAGCGAATTATTGAAATAATTTTTTTTTTTAAAAACATGTTACTCCCGAAATGACCTAGTTTGTGTCGAGTGGACGTTAAACCCCATTTCTCTCTCTCTCTCTTACTCGTCAGTACCAACTGGGCCAAAGAAGACCGTGTACATGACTATTAGGTGGTATATTTTATCTGGACAACGGCATACTCTTATTTCGATTTTCCAACTGGCAAAGGATCTCGTTTTTTCATCCCCTGATACAACGTTGGAAAGGCACACTACTTCGTATCTAATCGTGTTTCAAATTGTCTGAACGACGGGCCACACGGCAGTAAACTTTTAAATAATTAAAGACCATAGATTTAAAAGACAATTTATTTTGTATATCTTTAAAATTGACTAATATTTATTATTAGTAGATACAGATCGATTTAACAAGATATATATAAAATAAGTAACAAAAAATTCACAGAAATTGTCTTTTGCTAAAAAATGAACATACATGTAAAATAAGCTTTGTGAATTAAATGCAGGAACTTAAAAACCTTTGTTCGTCGGATCGGTTGCATAAATCATTATGTAAAGCTTGCTAAAATTACACGATCATATTAAATTGACCATCACATAACAATTGTATTATGCTGAATTAATATACATTTATATTATTTACAAAAAAATATCAGAACTAAACAAAGTAACATTTATTATTTCAAAATTGACATTGGACGTAACTGTACTTACTGAAGCACATATCAATAATACACATAAGCTAAATATACAACTGATATCTGATTCACATTTTAATATTTTCAGTACTTGACATTACATTATGCCCACATTCATAAAGATTTTATGACAATATTAAAATAGTTAAATTTACAGAACTTTCTAAGCTAGATTTAGCAATCTGAATTAACATGTTATTTTCCATTGTAATGTAAATCTTTTCATTTCTGAATTCAATCATAAAGTAACCTTCATCACAAAGATACTCTTCAAATTTACAGTATTTATTCAAAGTAGGCCTACTAATACATGTATTTTCTAAAAATATTTTATAGACCGTTAACTGAGTTTCGTAGAAGAATGAATGTGGTTTATCTTAACTACATATATAGCAGTGGGATGATGTTGGGTGGTGACTGTGTTGAATATAGCTTTGGGAGGTAAGATAAGACTTGGAATATATATTAATTCCTGGGAGTAAAATAGGTTTGAGGTAATTAGTCTAAATATCAATATTGCGAGATAAGGGGCAACCCCAAACAGAGAAGGGGGCTTTTTTGCACCCACCAGTAGCCAAGGGGCCCCTTCTACCTATAAATTTCAAGTAAAATAATTTGATGAGTAGTCAATATATTCACCTGGACTTTTGCCCTGTACTACATTCACAGACTTTATATATTACAAAACTCCCCAATCAGCATTCACAATTTTGTAAATTTGATGGCCATTTCATTTCATATTAAGGATCTTGCTGAGTTTTAAAAATGTCCCTCCTTCCCATTTCACAAGATTTTAAACAGGAAAATTTGAGATTGAAATATACTGAATTTTCAGTAGGGTTTTCGAGGACCTAGTGGACAGACATTTCCTAGGAATCTGCAAAATAAAATCCGATAAGAACCCTGAATTGTACATAGTGTGTTCATATTAGTTTGTTGAGGAACCGACACAGGCAGATGACCACAATTAAATTTGAGTGTGTGTATAATACAACGAAGAGGTTATTAGTTGCAATGTCTTATTTAAATGCATTTGTTGATTCTAATACGAATCTTGATTGCGAAAAACATGTACCCATATATCCATAACAATTATTAAAATTTGTATTTTATGTCATCCGAACATTGCATTTAACACTACACAATATATATTGTTATGTGGAAATTTCATACATAAACGAATTCATCTTGACCAACAAAACCATAAACAACTGTTTTATTACACTTTTATTAAATAAAATAACAAGATTCTGAAACAAAAGATTTGAGCTTTGAATCAGGGCCGTATGTAGGATTTTAAAAGTGGGGGTGCAGCAGAGTGGTGGGGCGCCATAGCCTCCACGTATGTGATATAAGAAAGTTTCGATCAGGGCAAACGAACCCATTGGCGTGTGGGCGCCCTTAAAACCGTGTGGGCGCCCTTAAAACCGATCGACTGATCAGTGCCTTAAGAGCATCACTGTGTGATCATAATCAAGTGTATTATTTTATAATTGAAAGTTTGTTTAATAATTTTTGTTTTTTTGGATGGGGTGGAGGGGGTGCAATTTCTTGGGGCACCTTATTTATGTGGGGGTGCAATGTACCCCCTGCACCCCTCGCTAAATACAGCCCTGCTTTGAATGTATTTTTCCTGATTTTTCAAACCTAAATGAAATGAATGTAGAATTCCAGCATTTAGGTAGTCCACATACTCACTCTGTGGTATCTTATGACATTTGGATTAATTTGGTGGGTGGTTGTAAAAAAAATTTCTAATATATAGCAGAACGATATAACATGTTAAAGGCGTTTTTATCAACCACTGATTAGCCCAAGTGATTTGCATTCAATTAAATTTTTATCCTTAACATCCATCAAATTCAAATTGATTACCCTAATCAACAAATTTATCGATACCGATTTCCGACACTATTACGACAAATTGCCAAATCACCTCTAGGTGCGATTTGATTGGATGATCACATGTTTTTTTCAACTATGTCCAGCCATAAGAATTGTTTACAGCTATTTGGCACATTTAACCAACTCGAAAAGTACTTTGAAATCGACTATACTGTCACATGACATCTCCACTAAATACAAAACGGCTATAATTTCTATTTTATGCATGAATACTATGAATAAAATTTATTTGGGATTGGGTCATTGACCAAAATGGTCAGTTCTGAGCACTAAACTCAGGGAGTACATTAATCTGTTCACTGATTTATATTCGATAAAATTAAACCACATTGTATTTATTTGTGTATTCAAAATAAGGTAGATATATAAACAAAACAAATACCTGATAATGATCATGAACATTTTCACATTATCAACAAAAACTGTACATAAAATGAATGAATATAAATACAGCTGATGAAATAAAATATACAAAATGAAACACTATAAACAATAATTAATGCAAACTACTTAATAACCACCAAGATAAATCAATTATTCTATAAATAACTAAGAGCTTTGCATTAAATTAGTTTTCACATCTAAATTGTATTTAAACCAGATAGGGTACATGTGTGTGTATTGTCCTGGAAATTTGCCATCATTGTCCTATTAATTTGCCAACCTAAGTTATATTTTAAAGTAGAATACAAAATTTAATTTCAATCCATACATTGATTAAAATTATACAGTTACATTCCTAAATATTAATATGTAAGACTATAGCCCAAATAAGTTACGAGTTGTGAAACATTATGGGCAAAATTCAAGGTATGTTGACTAATTCTTAATCACCCTATGTCAATTGTCATTTGACTGTGAAGTTCAAATAGTTATCAATTTTGTATTTTATACCAATGCTGACTGCATTTATTAAATTTTTCACAGAACATACAATAATAAAGAAACTACATTCAGTTTACTCTACAACATTAAAATATCATGATATACTGGCGAAAGATATGATTCATTTGGCATGCATGATCTCTAGTATGTACATATCATGTACACAATAGAACACAGACAAAAACAATAATGTACAAAGAATTAATACATGCTACATATTTAAACATATATTAAAAGTGATAATATTAAATAATATCATTTAAGAATTACTCTTTGGATTTCAACCCAGCATATGGGTCAATTAAATTTATCATTTACTTTTCATTCAAACAATAATATCATATTTTAAAATGGTTATTAATAAATAATATTTACGAAAAAAGATTAAGAGGCGATTTTACATTGCCTAACTTTAAAGTTTCAACGTGCATAAAATTAACAGAACATTTCCATTAATTTGTATCTATTAATATTTAAAATTAGTTAAAAGATTTGAATTTGGCTAAATTAGACAGACGCTATGTGAAATCGGCTCTTATTCTAGAACAGACTACATAAATACACAAAATCTGTTTGTATCTATACTCCCAGATAAAATTTGATAAAGTCTTAATAAGTTGCAAGGAGAGTCCCTGATTTCTATAATCTCTAAACTATGATAAACAATAACAGTTTCAAATTAATTATCTACTACGAAATTCAACAGTGCTAGAACTAGTGTCCATCTTTTATTATATAGCATAAGTGTTCACAATAAACAGACTTGAGCTGGTAGTAATCCTGTCTCCTTCTCCAACAAGGCATGGATTGATTTCTTTTGTTTCAGCAAGTGAACAGAATTCAAAAATCCAAAGTTCGCTCAGTAAATCCCTTACAAATAAATCTGAAACGCTGTTCCGTTGAATCAATTCCTTCAAAATACTGTTCTGTTAAAGACATATTTACAGCATTCAATTTCTTGGCTACCATATACTTGTATTCTATTATACATCTTCCTCAATTCAGGTTGATTACCGCCTTACAAAAATATCTGGTTTCTAAGAACACTTTACGAATTAAGTATCTTGTTAGATAACTACAATGACACATATAGTTTGAACACTAGCATTTGGCAGAAATTGATATAATAAACATATATACACATGAAATGTCACAAGTCACCATGTTTTTTTTTCAAAAAGTTTAACAGAGATCAATCACTATCTCACTGCACTTTTAAAATGTTCATGATCTTGATTTTGTTGCACAATGTCCCACACATGCTAGAATTTATTTACGACTGTAGTTTACTGCCCATGGAACATCTCCTCGTCTCGGACCAGATGGAACTGAAATAATTCAAAGATAAATTATTAGTAATGATAGACTCTGCAGTGAATTTTAATGATGTTCAATTTCACCTACCTTGGAGTTTACTATGAATCCAACAAGATCAGCAGCATAATAATTGCCGGATAGTGAGCAATGTCTTTTAGGAAAGGGGAATGGGGTGTCAACATTTGCTTGTGCAGCTGTGGTGAGATGATTCAATATATAATATAGTTTCAAGATTCAGCTTTTTGCTATTAATTGTTGGTATTTTATACATCACTATATCTACATCCATAAAATGTATTGTTCAATACATAGCTAATGTAGTTCTTGTGTCTGGAGTAGACAGTGTTATTATGACAAAACAGCTAACAGCATTAAGAAGTTATCAGCCCCTTTCCACATAGTGATCATGTCTATGCCAGACATACAAACTACACTGGCTATTGAACCATCCTTTAGTTTATAACTATACGAATATATTTCAGTTGATAGAGCCTCGGTCTGTCATAGTCTATGCATATTGGTGCAGTAGGTCTGGGTTCGATTCTTTTTATTGATTACAATCTCAAAACGTTCTATGTATGTTATATATTTTATAATTTATAGAGTGGAAATGCATAAATAGAATGGGCTATTTAATTAGAAACACAGAAAGAATAATGCATGCTGCTTTAATCAACTTGTCATTACACAATGTTTCAGTTGATGGTATTTATCATTCCAACTCATTCTCGACTTTCACACAACTGCACAAATACTTAACCCAAGTATATTGCAATTATTACCTCATACAAACTCTTGAATATATGCAGCAATGGCAAGAGATCAGTGTACATGACACAACTACTAGGACATTTTTCTGGGCACATTCTAGAACATAAATGAAGATCTATTTCATTACCTTCATCAAACAACCCTGTATGTCATTGGTTTTATTGTTTTCCGATATGCTTGGAAGCCACGGTTATTCAGTGAGTATGGCCAAGAAAGTACCTCAAAATTTTGCAGTGTGGTTTCTTATTGTCAGTGTCTAGCCATTTGGGTGGGACAAAAAACAGAGGCTGCATGTAAATGTTAGTGTGCATGTAAGAATCCTTGACAGTTGGAATTTGAAACTGCAGTAATATGTAGTGCCATCATCCATGCAATATTTCTCCCATAGCACACTTCATGGTGTATGTTCAGCTTCATTAGCCTGTTTGGTCCAGAGAGAGAGAGAGAAATGGGGTTTAACGTCCACTCGACACAAACTAGGTCATTTTGGGACTAACATATGGTTTTTAATTTTATTTACATAATTCGCTTGCGCGTAAGGGTCTTTAGCAGTGGGAGGAAACCGGAGGCCCCAGAGAAAACCCATGAGGTTGGACAGGCGACCTACTCTTTGCCAGGTACAACAAGGGATTCGAAACCACGCCAGTCGACTCAATGACAGACTGTTTGGTTCAGAAAAGTAAAACTTTATACACCATGTCAGAGAACATTAATACTATCTATTACTACATAAGGATAGAAATGGTTCCAGACGATGACAAAACAATTTATATTAATATAACCTCAACAATGCGGTATTGGGGTAACAATTGTAAAATGAAGAATCTGTTCAAAAACAACATTATCCTGTGGTTATTTTTTTATGCCTTTAGTCTATGATTATGTTTATATTCATATAAAGGAGATAATCTAATTCAGGAATAAATAAATCATTTTACTCAGTCCGTAAATAGAAAAGGTAACAAACAAAAGACTGTACCATGTCCATTTTTATTTAATTTTCTCAGATATCAGCTTTGGTCCCACCTTAAGTTATGTCGAAAAATAAAAACATGCCTTTTCAGCTAAAAGAATGGAATGTTTTCATCACCAAGTCATACTATTGTAGTGCAAATGGCCTGGTTACAAAATGGTTACGATCCAATACGCGCAAGTATCGAAAGGAACCCAGATATATATATTTCATCAAAATCGAATAAAAATTGTAACCCTTAGAGTGACCACAACCTTGGTATTACATACTTTTACACTATTTGCATTTGGGGAGCTGCCATTTTGTTGAGCAGTTTCGGTCCAATTTTAACGAAACTCGAACTGAACTGACATACAGTGATATGTCTTTTTTTTAAATTGGATAAAAATTGTAACCTCTAGAGGATCCACAAACTAAAAACAATCAGGGGCTGCAATACAGGAAGTTATGGTCCGATATGCGCAAATATCGAAAGGAACCAAGATATTTGGGATATAAACATATATTTTAAGTTTCATCAAAATCAGACAAAAAATGGTGACATCAATCATCATTAGTGTGTAACAGTGATATATTTGAACGGTTTTTAAAATTGGATAAAAATTGTCACCTCTGTCACGGTTCGATACGTGCGAGTATCAAAAGGAACCCAAATCCTTGGGTTAAAAACATACTACAATAAAATCGGATGAAAATTGTGACCTTCAGAATGCACACAAGCTATAAACGTGATTTTCCGTACAATCAAGGGCCATAATCCATGAAGTTCCATGCCAATATCGAAAGGAACCAAGATCTTTATGAGATAAACCAATATTTCAAATTTCGTCAAAATCGGATAAAAAAATATTCAAACCAATTAATCTATCAAAAATTTGCTTCAAATACCTCTAAAAACATTGTATTCGCGTAGGAAATACCCTATGATATAAAAAATCTATTTTTAGAAGCCATGTTTGTTATGGAACTGATTCACATAGGGCCCATTTTCAGAACGTATATGTCATTACTTACTCTCCATTTGCCATACATATTGAAGACTAAGTGAATTCTTGAATTATCGTCTGTCAACTTCCTTTTCAGACGTTTAATTGCATAGCGCCTAACCATTCAATCAAGAAATAACAACTGCTCCCTAAATAAACCTTTGGGTTACCAGTTAGTGATACCCTGACATTTTTGCCCAGTGTCTGCCTCATGGGTGTTTTTCGGGGAATCTGATATTTTTCTAATACTTTCCATTTATACCAAATTTGCCATACTTTTATTGAAAATAACTATCATATAAATACTTTCGTGAATGCATCTTCGATTATCTCACTTATATGAATATAAATTTAAACATAATAGACTAATAAAGGCATACTACTTTTCAAGAAACAAGGCCTGTAACTTGGTTGATTTCTAACTTTTACTTCTCATTTATCTGAGGCAATGAATAAAATCTTAAATCACTTCTTTTTCAAGCAATTCATATGGTTAACAAACTCTTGTTATACCGCTTGTTTATGAAACTGACTTTATAGATTTCTATTTGATTCTATAACAGGGATCAAAAAGGGGCATTATGTAATTATAATATTTCAAAAATAGATAATGTAAAATGAATAAATTGAAAATTTCATTCAAATTACTTTATTTGAGCAAAGTTATCAATGGTTGTAGTTTTGACAAGATGTTCGTATTGATCGTAACTATCGTACTGGTCATTCTTGTTTGAGTCTGACTTCTCCATTTCTTAATTAAATCATTAAATGGCCAAACCATTCTAATCTACTTAAAATCAGAGGGATCCAATGGCATCGAGAGTTGATTATGGTCTAATGGTAATAAATGTCTTATTAATAATTCATATAACATTTAAGTCTCAAAGAAAGACCTACAATGGGCAGAGTTAGCTCTTATATAATGCCTGTTAAGTCGTCTGCAAATAGCCAGCTGCTGATGTATGAAAAAGCTGATTGATAAAACAATGAAATGGCTACTAAATATGCTATTATAAATCAATTCAGTTTTAATAACTAGTTCATTATTAATTGAAAAGTGAATTAATCCTTAGTATCATTCAAACCTTTGTAACTCTGGACAGAATAAACTATTATCCACAATCTAATTATCATTTTAACCGTAACCCAAATCCTGTAACTCTATGCCAACCACCTTAAGGTGCATCTTACTTAATTTCGCTTCAGACTTCTATGACTGATTAAAAACTGAGACCACCGACTGTCAGCATCCAGAAATATAATTTGTACTTACTATGTTTTATGTACTGGATTCAGACATACTCTTAGCTTTAGAGAAAAATCAAAATTATGAAAGCAAAAATAATATTAAACATTTCATAAAATGTATCAATTTTTTGCAATGTTCAAGGTATGATAACGATTTTATTAAAAATTTCATAAAGTGTATCAATTTTCTGCAATGTTCAAGGTAGTCTAACGATGTATTTTTTTAAAGTATTTATTGATGTTTTTAATTTTTATTTTTGCCGATAAAATAAATTTTTACAATATTTTAAGAAGCAAATCATTACATTTCCTTTCAACAGAAATAAAATTCAATTTGATGAAATTAAGGCTAGTGAATAGGCTAGGGTGTTATCCATGCTTTTGTTTTTAGTCAATAGATTAAAATCAGCATTCTACTCTCTAATTTCAAAAATTTAGAGATAAATTGTTAAGTTAAAATGAAAATATTCTAAATAATAATTATTTTTATGCTTTTTCATAAAAAAATTCTGAATGTTCTGAAAATATTATGATGAATCCGATTCATGCAATAAAATTCTGAAAAAATCTGATTCAGTAATCGGTTATGTCATGTGAACATGCGCCAACTACAAAAGTTAATCACATAACAGACATGCGTAGGTTGAGATTCGATTTCGATCCTTCAAAGCAGACATCCCATATGAACTAACCTTGTGTGTGAGGGAGTCTTAGCTCTGTTATACACAACTAGGAAGTGAATTAAACCCCAATTGATTTCATGTCTTGCCAGCAGAAACAGACATGTCTTCTAGCTAAACCCTACATTTGTACCTGGATAGAGCGAGTAACAAATTATTGACACTCACGTTGTACATGTCTCCCGATGAAGGAAGAAATCCTTTTGTCAACCCAGTATTTAAAATATCATTTCTATAGGCTACAGTTCATATTTTGTGCTGTAACTTTGGGAGTAGAACCTCATTTTATTACAGACTATTGACTTGAACCCAGTCATTATATGTATACCCTATTATATCATGATCATATTCTTACACAATCTCCACTTTTGATTGAAATTATCCAAGAAAACGTATAATGAGTGAAGTGGTTCTGTGATTGTATGCTTATTCATTCTTAATCAAATGATACTGTTTTTTTATTTATCAGGAATTTTCACATAGCTAACACTTTATGTTGTGGGTTTGTATAAGCATGTATAAGCTGTTGATTGTTATTTGCATGTTTTCAACAATATTTATCTTTTCATGGTTATATCCAAACCAAAATCACCTACTCATGTTGAATATTTAACATTTAAAGGTCACAAGAAAAGCTTCATAATTTTTTTTTAAAAATGCAAGGAATTATGTCAACATATCCTTTCCATAAGTATAACACAATCCTGAATGTCAATGATACCTGTCACAGGTAAATTTCAACGTTACCGATTTCTGCAGTTCTCTGTGAGTAGTCGTAACTTTCCATCAATAAAAAAGCTGTGACTTAATTTTAGTCCTTCTACTCATAGAAATATAGACTGGAATATGAGCAGAAGGACATGTACCGATCCAATATAGAACTTTTTTTTCAGGTATAGATAATTGATTTGATGAAATCACCTTTTGGATTTCACATTTTTGTTAAAATATGTGGTTTTTTTTTTTCTCTGATGAACTTTGACGTTCAAGGAACAAAGATTTGTTGTACAAGAGTTATTCCCTAACCTGTTTTCTGTAATGCTTCTGTACAATCACCATAATAAAGAAATAGTGTGCTCAAAGAAAGATTGATTTTGAATTCAAGCATCTGCATTAACAGACTAAGTTATAAAATATATTATTCAGAGCTACAAATTAAAACAAAAATAAAAGGTCTACCAGTATATATTCTATTAACTCATTCATTTTTCTAACTAGAAGTTCTGAGTTCAGCCAAGAGTGAGAGAATCAACTAAAGCAATAGTTCAGAGTTTAAAGTTTGAAGATAGTTGAGAGTAGAGATTTTACAGAGTTCCATACCTATAAAGAAGGTTATCCTGAGAAATTAAATATTACTGTGATATTATTCATAGCTTCTGAAAACAATCTGCAGCCATTATAATAATTACAAACTACTAACAATCTCAGTACCGTAGCATGAAACAATCAATGGCTCTTCATTAAATCCAGAAGCTATAGATAATATCATAAAATTTTGTCAAATTGCCCAAGTTATGAAATGTTTCAGTCAATTCTATGAATTTACTTTGAATTGAACATGTGCAAGGGCAGATCCATTGGAGGCTTTTCTTTTTTTTACTAAAAATCTGTCGATAGAAGGGAAAATTATTTAAGATTCAACATGTACAAAGGTGGATTTAAGGAAATGGGTAGGGGATCGGATTAGGGGGACCAGATCATCCCCCCCCCAAAAAAATTTAAGTGTCTGAGATATAATATATTTTACTGAAAAATCTGTCAATAAAAGGCCACCTTGTTCTTTACATTGACGCCGTTTTTTTTGGGTTTTTTTGCCTTGCTCCTCGCTCAAAATATTCCTTAAAGTATTTCATCTTTTTAACACATCAAAGTAGAGAAATAATTCTATTTCAATTCCTAGGTTTGATTGAGAACATTTCAAGATCTTGGTTTATTGAGTTATCAGGATGTAAGAGAGATCTAGAAAGCAAGAAAACAATCAGCCCAACATTCGTCTTTACATTCTTTTATCATTCATATACCACATCCCTGTTCATACACCTACCGACACGGGACATTCTACCTAAAATATGTGTCAACACAAGTTCTTACACAAATAAATATAATATCAAGAATGAAATCTATAATTTCTAACCCCCTCATAGCTTGAGAAATCAAATGTTGCATGAAAAACCATAGGTAATAGTACCTTTTAGATAGCATATACACTGTAGATGGCAGGGGAGAATTTCCAAATTTAAGGTAGTTTCATTGGACACTGATAAGAGATTTTTTTTGACAAGAAGCTTTTGTTAAAACACTGTCGCTGAACATGTAAATGACATTATCACTTGTTATGCCAAATTTGACATCCACAGGGAAAAAAAGCTCAAAAATATGTGCCCCAAGAAAGTACATGTATCAACCAAGCAAGTTTAGTTCGATATTGTCAAAAAGTTAGCAATTTGTGGAATATTTTGAAATTAGAAAAATCTAAAATACAGCAAAACCAATGAAATATTTAAAAGTTAGTGAAGCTAAATAATTTGGTTTGGATCATGATAATAACAAAACTATTGTGTTAATCTCAAGCTAGAAATTAGTGAAAAAACAATTATTTTTATCCAATTAGTGAAATATATATAATTTGGTTTAGATTATGATATAAACAAAACTGTTGCATTAAACTTAGGAATTAGTGAAAGAACAATTATGTTATCCAATTAATGTTGCAAAAGTTTAATTCATGGTCTCATACATACTTTGAACTGTTTGACAGGTTGCACCAATCCAACCTTTTTCACAAGTACACATCCCAGAGATTGGATCACAAACACCATTATTATCACAATCACAGAAATATTCACAGTTTGGACCATACTTTCCTTCAGGACAAGCTGAAAACAACAACAGGATGAAAAGTTATCATATCTAACTATTTAACGTCATTCTGAAACTAACAGTAGAATCTTGATGAAAAGAAATGAAATAGGGTTTAAAGTCCTACTGGTCTGCTCCGACTGGGCGAATGAAGACAGCGCATCTCGATGAAAAGGTATGGCCAATAGTCTGTATAGTTAAGCTTTACATGATATATCAAGAATTCTGGGAGTTCATCAGTTCAGATATTCAGATTAAATAAAAAGTTGTTGCAATTTCGACAGCATGCAAGATCTATATGTAATAAAAGCTGTAGTCAGATTGACTATGTATGGTATGAAGAAACAAACTTTTTTCCATATTCATAAGAAATGAAATGGTGTTTAATGTCCTAGTGTTCTGCTCCGACTGGGATAATGAAGACGGGCATACACCATACAGTGTGCTATGATGGACATTTTGCCCGGATAGCGGCAATACAGCCTACTCTTATATTGAATTCCAACTGCCAAGGGATCATTTACATGCAAGTCAATGTGTACACGGGGCCTCGGTTTTCTGTCCCATCCAAACGACTAGACAGCTGTCCTTGTCAGACTCTACGTCCTGCACCAATGAAAAGGGGAAACCACGCTTGAAAATCTGATGAACTTTCTCTGCCAACATCAGGAGTGAACCCGCGACCTCTAGGATAGCCATAATCATAAGAAAAGACATGCTATTAAACATATTTACAACTGTTAACTATTAGGTTTTCTAGAAAGAGAAGGCATAATTTGCGATTAGTATAGCAACACCACTATATGGTCTTCAGTGTTTAAAGTGAAAATACAATTATTTCCAGATTAATTAATACAATTAGATCTATCATACTCCTATTATCCAAAGTAGATATTTAAATCATAACTTACAGTCTTCACATCTTGATCCAAATTTACCTGGGGGACATAAACATTCCCCAGTAACATGGTGACATTCAGCATCTCCACAGTCACATTGTAATAAACAATTTATACCATGCTGACCACTCGGACAACCTAAATATTAATGAAATAAAAAAAAAAAGAATGGTGTATCAATAAGGCTATACAAATAAACTCTTGTTGTGAGCCGCATCCCTTTCTACTTGTTTGATCTGAAGGTCTAGTAAATTAGACAAAACAATTTCAACATTATAGAGTTGAACTGCTTGGTGGCCAATAAGTGTAACCCTTGAAGATTGTTCAATACATTGTACTGTTCTTCCATCTCCATGCAAAGTGAAAGAAATGGAATGAAGTGTAATTGTCTCATCAACAAAATACTTCATAAATATGGTTACATTTTTCTATGCTAGAGAGAATAATTTTTGGGAACCAGTTTTGAAAATCCGAAGTTTCTTGTCAGCAGACAAGGGGATTCAAACTCAAGACATTCTAGTTAAGAATTCAAACACGGCCCTCATGCAGATTCAATAGTAACAAAAACATCATTTTGATGAATTGATTATTCATTTACTACAGCCATTAAAATAGAACAATTAAAAAAACCTCCTGCGCCACTGACAAAAGGAAGCCACCAGGAAAATCCAGATGAACTTTCTCGACCAATGCAAGGATTGATCACGTGATCTCCGGCTTAGTGAGCCAACGTCTTACTCACTGAGCCACCATGACTTCGTATTAAGTATGAGTACTTACGTTTTTTACAACTGTCACCTGTAAAACCTGTAGGACATCGACACTGACCTAATCTAGCATCACAGGTAGCCCCATTAACACAATCACACATTTCACTACAGTATGGACCATGGGTTCCTTCAGGACATTCTGATATAAAAAAAACCAATCCATTTAACTTCTATCACTGGTTAGAAACTTTCATTTCCTTTCGACTATAAAAACTACTTGAGTAAAAATGTAATACAATTATACAATATTCTTAAAACATACAGCACACACTTTTTACAGATAAAATATGCAGTATCTACTCTTACCCATTTCACACGTGTGACCATAAAATCCATTTTGACAATGACAACACCCAGTAATTGAATCGCATTCTCCACCATTCTGGCACATACATGTATGATTACAACCAGGTCCATAGCGATTAGCTGGACAAGGTGTGTCACATGCTGATCCCATCCATCCCATATTACAGTTACAGGCACCAGATACTTTATCACAGCGACCGTTTTTACAGTCACAGACTTCTTTGCAATCAGCACCATATTTACCATCCTCACATTCTATAAGAAGATGAAACATACTATAAATATTATGCATAATCGTAATAACTCTTATTGTGCATTGGAAGATAAAAGCTGTTTCTGGCATCCACTGACAGATATTTACATTTGTAACCTATGTTTCTTAAATTAAAATAACTTATTTTATAGATATTGTTTATGTAATTTAATAATACTGGATAAAAAAAAGATTTCTGTTGCTCTTTTTACAGTTAGTGGTGATGCATAGCAATAAAGAAACTTCTCACGGTAGTGAAAGGAAATTTTATGCAGAAAAGAACCCCTTAAACTGTTTCAGACCCATGAGAAAGAATCTTCTTAAACTAAGATTAATAAAATAGTCTGTACCTTCATGACACCTCTTGCCTGTAAATCCTGGTCGACATTTACATCTTCCACTTTTCTTATTACATCGAGCACCATTTTCACACATACAGAAACCTAAACAATCCTCTCCATATCTGTTCTCTGGACAACGCTGACTACAAGTGGGTCCCACATATCCAGGTGGACATGTACACAGACCAGTTAACATGTCACACTCTCCACCATTCTCACACAGACATAGTTGATCACAGTTGGGTCCATATTCACCTTCTTTACAACCTGAAGATCATTTAATTTTTCTTAAATTTCAATTCCATTTACATCTTTTATAAATCTCATTGTTAACCAAGATATCTATAATCAGGCTTAACAATTGTATTTATTTATAAAACAAAATGTATTTTAGAAAAAATGGATCAATAATGGATCAATAGTGGTACCATAATCCTAAAGGTATCACAACTCTCAAGTCCATGAAAACAATCTGACAAATTAATGTGTCGACTTCACCTGAGAAGCATACCAAAAATATATAGCATTCAAAATTACTTTTGTACAGAACTTCTTGGAGGCAACATTTATACAATGAAACAGGACTTAGTTGTAGACCACACACAGCCTTAATATCAACTTATTTCATCTAGAATTTTTAATTTTAGATAATTTACTATTCATATTTATGTAATAAAGAATAATTCTGTGTGCAAGTGCAATAAAACAGATTTTGTGCAATACTGAACATTCAGACATTTCTGATATTAACAACCAATCAGAACATTTACAAGACAGAAAGCAAAACACATCAAACTTTTATTTCAAAAGACATTTCTTTAGTGCTTTTGTTAAATAATATTTGCACGGTTTAAGGCACATGTTTCTTAATGGGAGCTTGATATTTGCATGGTTTAATTCTTATGTTTTTTAATGAGAGCTTGATATTTACATAGCATAAGGCACACATTTCTTAAGGTGAGCTTGGTATTTACAGTCTATAGCACATTGTGAGATTGATATTTGCTTGGTTTAAAGCACATGTAGTTTAACAAGAGCTTGACATGACATAGTTTAAGGCACAAGTTGTTTAGGGAGAGCTTGATATCAGACTACCTATAGCCCTTGCCATCTAGCTGAGAACAACGAGAACAGATGTTATTTCCCTACAACACCATCTGTCTTTTACCCGATAAAATCTTGTACACAAATGAACAAAGTATATTTATTTTTGGAGAATATTATTATTGTTAATGTGAATGAATATGGAATATTCATTTTAAGAAAAAAATACACATTATTTTTTTTTATAGGAATGATTGACATAAGACAAAAACATGCCATACATTAAGTTAATATATAGACACTTATACAAAATATTTTTCCAATTCATAAATTCACACAGCAATATCTTAAGTTTAATAGAAATTATATGAAAGTGTACATATATTTAGTGACAAAAACACAGAACAGTCAAATAAAATGCAGATAAAATCAGTATAATAATATTCATCTGATGATTCACACAATACCTACCCAAAACCCAGGATGCTTGTCAATTAAAAATCAAATTAAATATTTGTTGTCCTACATAAAATATGAATTTTCCTTAATTGAAAATGAATTTGGTTTAATATTTTAATTTCTGCACCGATTGGGTAATGAAGATGTGTATTCACAATGCAGGGGGCCAGGAGTTAAATTTTGACTGGACAGTGGCACTACATCCTCCAGTTTCAAATGTCAAGGGATCTTTAATTGCCCCATTGAAGTCAAATTAAAATGATCAATAAGAACTTTGAGAAACATTACATTTAGTTTCACATATAAAGGTATCGATTATGATCTCTATAGACAGTTACCTGCTTGTAGCTTTTTGAAGCCTGTTTTATCTTTGGGCTTTTTCCTCCATTTTCCTTTTCCTTTTCCTTTACCCTTCCTCCCTTTTCTCCCTTTTCTACCCTTTCTCCTTGCTGCATGCAAGAGGCAGATTAAAGAAAAGCATGGTTAAAAGTAAATAAAATCAAGCCAATTTTTAAAATGCATTAACTGAAGACTAATGCAACACTTTAATGCCAGAAAACTTAAATCGAAGTGAAAAGCAAAATGGTAAGAAGCTTTAGTGTCCACAACTGGCAATTTTTCAGAATCCAAATGGTTAGGTTTCAGACCATGGAGTGGCTAGTTTCAGAATAGGTATATTGTAGAGGTTTTGGCACTAAGATGTTAAATTTCAAAATTGTAAGTGATACAAGTACCTTTCCACAGCAGAATAACAATGGAAAGTCTTCAAATTAAAGATATCGGCTCTTTTTACTTTATTTGTCAATTTTATTTGATAAACTGGCTTAATTTTAATACAATAAAAGACAAAATAAAAGCTTATTAATAAGCAAATCTAATAATACTTGTAAATTTTCTCTAGGTGAATGCTAAGACTGACTTACATGCAGAATATTCATAACATTAATGCGTTCAAATTATCAAATTATTTTTTTTTCTAATTATTTCCTTTCTGACCAAAATAACTGCCTGTACTTGCACCATTCAAGTAGTGTGTAGAAAAGTTACCTTTTTTCTGGGTATTTGATGTGTAATACTCATCAAATAAGTCAGTCTTGCATAGAAAAATTGAAAAAGCTTTATAATACATGATATGAAATAATTGTAGCATGAAGCGATGATCATTTATTTAGATCATAAGAATAAGATTGTGAATTTAAAGTTGTCTAATACTATAGAAATATCCATATATCGGTACATTTGATATTTCTGTAACTCTCTAAATTTCAATTTCTATTGTTATTACTATATGAAATGTGGAAATTGTTAATCAGTGAGGTTATATTTATTATATATACAGATACTATAATTCTTTAAATTATACATATATTTCTAATATTTCTATTAAATGTTATACATATACAAGAAATACTAAAGTGTTCCCTTTTAATGTGACAAAACACAACTTCAATTTATAAGAAGTTTTCTAATCCCATTTTTTAGTCCCTCATTACATTAGGATATACTGTCCCAAATTTCTATTTAGATCACAAATTTATTCCAATGTGCTGTCAGTTTTTTGGCTATTAATACAGTGAATGCCTAATGTACATATTAAATATATAATGCCTTAAATGTAAAGAAACATTTAATTTGAGTTAACATTTTGTATGCATGAGAATATAATTCTGAAATAATCTTAATTAACATGTGTAAATGTTTATTCAGATTATATTTTTGTATGTATGAGAATATTTCCCTGAAGTAATCTAATTTTCCCACAAGTATATATATATAATATTTATTTAGACTAATGTCTTGTATGTATAAGTCTTTTGAAATAATCTAATCTATTATTATTGCTCCCAATATGTTTCAACACAAAGATCATGTTTTATTGACTGAGGATTTGAATTCTATTTGAATATTATTTCAAGACAATTATCTGACAATTTCTTTTATTAGTAACCCCATTCCTGTCTTACAATAAAGCACCAAATATTCATGTTGAAATCTAGAATCAGAGAAAATGTCACCCAGACATATGTACTTTTGATTTTATTAATATAGACAGTAGTATGGGAATTAGAAACCTTAATCATCTACAATTTTGTCTACTAAACATGTTATTTATATATTTTCTTTATTATTACTAATTCCTACACCAATAGTTAATTTCATAATGAATAAATAATGTACAAATGATATTAATCAGATGCAAAACACAGTTAATTGTCAAGCCATTACCACATTATAACTAGTCAACATGTTCAGTCCTTTCATGACAAACTCATATATAAATATATATTATCTTGGCAGTCATGGCACACAACTACCTGTAGCAAAATGATCATCATGTTGAAATGAAATGGGGTTTAACATCCTACTTTTCTGCACCAATGATATTAACATTTATGATTTGGGATTGAAATAATGAATACATTCATCTATCCTTTTTGAAAATCAGTCTTTCGCTTAGTTATTACACTTCTAATAAATGGTGATATTATATATCTGGATTTTTCAATGAAATTAAATTGGCCTTCCTCAATGCGTAAGTAATGTATACTTTCAAAAGCTGGTACTATAGAGGGTCTTCATTCCATTTCCAGACAGTATATGATAATTGATAGCAACTGGTGTTGTGTACCATGATCACATGCCCAAGATGGATATATATAATACACAAGGTGCACATATCCTTACCTTTAGCACAATATCTTCCCTTCTGTCCAGGTCTACATAAACATTCTCCTGTTACATGATGACAATCATATTCATCCCCACATGAACACTGACCTCGACATTCAGGACCAAATGTTCCTAGTGGACAATCTGAAAAAATAATATGAACACTATGGTATGACCACAAAATTGTACAATCATTACATTTCTGAGGAATACAAAATTAATAGTTGTGCGAGGTGTTATCGTCATTTTGTAGTCTGACAGGAAAGATCAAGCTACCCTTGCAAAGACTTTACCCTTTGATTTAACTACTGGTGAATTATACTTACTTTGGTTAAGATGCCTGGTACCACCATTTAGTTAAATAGATCATATGGGAAAATTGAATAAAATTTACACTGGATCAAGAAAAACAAATATATCGTGTTCCTGAATAGAAAACTGTTAACTTACGTTGACCACAAGATGGTCCACTGAAACCAGGTGGACATCGACATTCACCATTCAAATGATTACATGGTTCATGTGTAGCACAAGAACATTTCTCTGCACAATCTTTACCATATGATCCTGGCATGCAAGCTGTAGAGAATAAAGATCAACAATTACAGATTATAGCAATATATATTAGTATCCTTCACTTGGAATTGTAGGAAAGCATTTAGGAAGGGCATGCTTCCTTTATGCTCAAAAAATTAAGATGCCGCTGGTAGTGACAACTGCTTGTATTGTTTTGTGGGTTTTTGTCTCAAATTGGGGAGCAACCACTGGGCTAATGACAGCTGGCATATGTCATGCATTGTGCTACGAGGGAAATTGTGCCTGGACTGAAGTAATACTATCTACACTTGTTTTCAATTTCTGACAGTAGATCTTTAACATGCTGCCAATTATCTACAATGCTGGTTTCTCGTCCCATCCAAATGGTGCTCTTCCTGCATCACTGAAAAGGGGGGAACCTGACTGGAAAATCCCAAAGCACTTTCTCAGCTATCTCAGTGATAAAACCATAACTTCCTGGTTAGTGAGTCGGAGACATATTCATCAAGCCACGAATAACAAACACTACATAAAATTTATTGTGCAATTGATAAAGTTAGCACAAGTGATAAAACTGTACAGGTAAAGCTAGTATAAAATAGTTACGTTTATCACAGTGTTGTCCTCTCCAACCATACGTACAAGTACACTCCCCTGTTTCTCGGTTACACTTAGCACCATTTTTACATGGACATTTCTCAGAACATTTTTTGCCATAGAAACCTTTAGGACATGCTAAAAATATTTTATAAAATATATCCAAAAATCATCAAAATATATATACTTTTATTTGTAATAAGATTTAATCTTGGATTGATTTGGAATTATTTGAAACATGTTATATAATTTCTTTGTTCCTTTCAATGATCATATTTAACAAATGAGGATCTTGTTCAACTGACTGACGTTACTCCTGACTGAAAAATTTAGGAATGACAGACATAAATCAACAAAAGCTTGATGCATGTCCAACTAGCTATAATTATCTTTGGACACTTAAAAATCTCTGGTTTCATCTGCTTTTTTGGGAATGATAACAAGGTTAATGATACCTACTTGTATTACATCTGTCACCAATATATCCTGGAGCACAAATACACCGTCCCGTCACTTTATCACATGTTTCACCATTAACACAATCACAGCGTAACTCACAATTTGGTCCAAATCTACCATTTGGACAAGCTTTAATAAATGTTGAATTCAAAATTATGAATTCATCTGACATTTTAGGCAAATAACGGGACAATTAATTGAAATACTGGTAATTATCTCCTCATTATAACTAGCAATGGCTACCTTTCAAAATCATATAAATTGATTTGTTATATAAGTTAAAATAAAACAGTTATTAACTCACCACTCTGGCAAGCTGTGCCTTCCCAACCAGCAGTACAGTTACATGCACCATCAATATGATTACAATGACCACCGTTAGAACAGAAACATCTGTATAAACAACTAGTTCCATATTTTCCAGCTTGGCATGCTTAAATAAAATGGAATATTACCGTAAATATTTTATTTCATTTCTAAAATTCGTTTTAACTACAATACATACAATCTCCTCAAAATGCCTTTTGGTATCTAAAATGTCCCTAGAACCTTTTAATGATTAATGAAGATTTTCCACAGAAAGGATATAAACAAAACTTGTATTAATTATGACAACACTGTGGTTTGTAAAACATCCAACTCCTCTCCTATATTGTCAGTGTTTCTTCCCAACATTATTGGAAAAATCATGTGATACAATACAATGAGTTCAAAAAGTATGTTCTTACGTTCTTCACAATTCGATCCCATCCAACCAGGAGAACAGATGCAGTTACCACTAACTTTATCACAGTCCCCATTTTCACACTGACAACTTCTGCCACAATCATCTCCAAATTTACCATCCGGACATCGCTCATTACAGGAATCTCCATACCACCCAGATGCGCAATGGCAATTCCCAGTAACATGGTCACACTGAGCAGAATTATCACAATTACAAATGCTCTGGCATTCTAAACCATAGAAGCCTTCGGGACATGCTTTTTCACAATAAGTTCCTCTCCAACCTTCAGAACAAAGACAGGATCCACTGATATGGTCACAGTCAGCACCATTTTGACACTGACATTTCTTCAAACATCCAGCACCATAGGTACCATTAAGACACCCTAAAATAATAACAAGTCATAGAAATAAAATAATAGTAAACATTACGTTTTTTTTACCCATTAAGACCTGCATCCATGGACCATTTGTTGCCAATCACCCAATTTGTCATTATTGACAATCTGTGACACTTTCCTTGACAGTCATACAGGTGCTACCCCTGACAAGCAGGTATCTTTCTTGAAACGTTCCAAAGTTCTTCTCAGCCTACCCTGGGATTTGACCCATGACAATTGCCCTTACTGCTTGACAACCCCAACACCCATTATCAAACAAAAGCTTATTGTATTATTGAAAGTGAAAGTAATTCCAATCAAATGTGGTTTTTGGACAAAGTGGGTTGTGAATTATACAGAATCTGTACTTACTTTGATCACAACCTGAACCTCTCCATCCTGGAGCACAAATGCACTCTCCAGTAGCAGGATCACATTCAGCACTGTTTAAACAATAGCATTTCTTGAAACAATTTTCTCCCCATCGACCAGGTGAACAAACTGTAAAATTAAGTTAACTTATTGTAATTCTATTCAAACAATAACATGGTGTTACAGAACATGTAAATAGTAAATAAAAAGAATTAATCAAACCTTGGTCACAGAGCTGTCCTGTCCATCCTGGACCACAAGTACAGGTACCATCTATTTTATCACATGTAGCATTATTTTCACACATACAAACTTCCATACACTGTGGCCCAAATCTACCTACAGGACATCCTGTAATATTAAAAAAAATACAATCAGTTATTAATTTAACCTTTCATTTGCTGTATCAATTTATCAGTCGACACAAAACATTTTTTAGATGTGCAAAACGATACAAAAATCCCCCCTTGTATAATAAATAATCTAAACTTTGATTTTAGTGTCATAGCTAATGTGCTACATTCTCCAACACCCCCTTTTACAGCCTTTTCATCTATCCCATTTTAGATTTACTTTTACTATAACATTTCTTTTGGTACTGTCTTTCTCTACGAAATGGTTACAGACGGTAACTTCTTTCTATCGGTAAAACAGGCTAAAACCACTTCCCTTACCTTCTCTACAATATGGACCATACCATCCATCTGTACACAGGCATTCTCCTGTAACACGATCACATGTAGCATCATTCTGACAACCACATTTATTCTGACAATCCATACCCCAACTACCTTCTGGACAAGCTACAAGAAGTCAACATGTAGGTTAAGTTTTAATTGCTTCCATTTATTTAGAAAATTTGGGGTAGTTTAATAAATTATGTTGGGGCATATAGATCTTGTATCTTAGAATAATATGAATATTTCTTCTTCTCCCAAAAAACTATTAATGTCTTGATGCCTATTTTATTTACTTTCAAAATATTTGAAGATCCCATGTCTATAAAAAGGATGTTTCTGTGTTCTACAAGGTGCATGGGATGACAAGCACAGAGACAGACCATCAAAAAAGAAGACTGAATAGTGAGAATACAGGAAATTTTAAATCAGATATAGGTATTGTAAAATTGATATTCAAAGGATAATTATTGATATGAAAGCAAAGAAGACTATAGGTCAGTGGTAAATTTTGAAATTGTACTTTTTTGTAAAAAAAAATGTCTTATTTTGTCCTGAACAATTTGGTTACAATTTTCCTCAAACCAACATAAGAAACATATACAGAAGGCTGTTACACCCTTTTATATGCCCCCTTTCCACCAAAGTCATAAAGAGCAAGAATTTACAAACTTCTATCAGATCTCTGTGCTGCACTGTATTGCAATCTCAAACATTAAAAAGGTAAACTGTATACATAGTATATATGCATTAACAATGTTCAATGAGTAACGGCAAAATTCTTTATTTCAACAAGGCTCTTCTTAATTAATGTGCAGATGTGTAAACATAGACCTAGCCTGTTCCTCAATCCAATTTCAAATGAAACAAAATATTGTTTTTATCAATAAAAATACATGTGGATGATGAACAATCCCTCTCACAGAGTATTTGTAAAGCGAATAGGAAGGAAGGCTGACAGACAATCAACAGAAGTGACGACAATATACATCCAATTAAATGTGAGCATATAAGAAGGACTAAGAGAATAGACCTTTAGAATTACAGAAATTTTAAATAAATAATAATTAGATTTCTTATTTACAGAATGAAGTTACAACAATAGGGTCTGTATAAGAAATATATACTATTTGGTTTAATGTTGGAAATTGCAAAAAGCATAAACTCTGAGAGTTTAGTAACTGCATTCAGTAATATATGTTATGTTTATCATAAATTTGGTTAGTAGCAAAATGCTTAATGTCAAGTTTTAAATCTGTATAAGTAAATGCTTAAAGGGTATGGAAAAAGGACATCATAAATCTAAAATAAGGCTAAAGATCAGAATAATCTATGAACAAAAAGTGATATTTGGGAATAAAACATCTAGTATTCTTCATAAAGTTTGGAATTTATTTCTGTACAGAAAAGGAAATAGATGATCACTGGATGTTGGAATCAAAATTTCTCTTTTAGAAATAGATAATCAAAAACATTACATGTCTTTTTTCAACACCCTTTAAAACAGAACTCACATTTTTTACAACGTTTGCCCATTTTGCCAGCCTGGCAAATACATTTTCCTGTTTCTGGGTCACAAGTACTGCCACTACAATGACAGTCCTTTAAGCAATTTGGACCATGTTTTCCTTTTGGACATGCTGTAAATATGGAGGGAATAGACAAAAAAAACAACAAATAAACGAAAAAAAATCAAAAAAAGGTTGAAAGCACTAACTATAGGTTTTAATATAAACTATAAAAATAATATGGGTGGTTAAAGTTGGTGTAGATTCATTTTCTTTCTATTCTATGATAATTTGCCATTACTACATATTTATTAATATTTCAGCAGTTGCTCAAAACAACTAATCAACATTTACTGTTATTACCACATGGTATGTTTTAACAGTGCAAGAAATGACACATTTTTCTAACTGTATTAGTTTCCATCCAAACAGCAGAATGTTAATGTTATATTACTATATCAATGTACACAAACATCTGTCTAAATTCGATTACTCTACGTGCAATCAACAATAGTGCTATCTTGTCCGAGTTTCCTACGATTAAACCTTTCTGCTACCCATAGCTCCTCAACCCAATTGATTCATTCTGTTTTAGGAGCAATAGTTTTGAATGGTTTCAAAAATGACCTACAAAACTTCATGTAAAAGAAACAACTTTTCTCTAATTTTGTTCAGGTAACTGCGGTAGTCAATATTTTTAAGGTGCCAAAGGGTTACAGTTATTCTTTATTTTCCAAGATTCAGGTGCTATATATACCATGGTATTTAATTTGCCAAATATTCAGCATTTCATATATACTATTCAAAAAAAGTAGGGGATATTTGATTTTGGGGGCATAATACTAAAATATGCAAATGACTACGAAAAAAGTCACTATAGAACCTAACAGAAGAAACATTTCCAGTTACATGTGACGCCCAAACGCACCAATAGCTACCGCATGGAATGCAGGTGATGCTTGGGATCATCATGGGGGTCCAACCCAAGATTTGCACGACTCTGACTTTGAATGTTACAGTCATTGTGGCATTGAATTCCAGGGTGGAAACATCAGTTTAATTGTTTTAGTGACCAGAAAACAAATTTTGATATGCGTCGGCTTACCCAAAATGAAAGGTTACGTGCCCTTGGCATGCTACAGATCGGCACAACACAGGCGGTTGTGGCGCGGACGATGAATGTTTCTCAGTCTGTCATAAGCAGGCTATGGTCCAGATACCGTGATACACAATCTGTAAAGGACAGACCACGCTCAGGTCGACCAAGGGCGACAACTCAAGCCCAGGATCGATTTATCCGTACCTTGGCCTTGAGAAATCGTGTCATCACAGCAAATCAGATCAGCGCTCGTCTTCAAACAGACACTGGTGTGAGAGTGAGTGGCCAGACGATTCGGAATCGACTGCATAGGGGTCACCTTCGCGCCCTCTTCCTCGCGTGATCCCTTGTTTGAGAGATCATCACATTCAGGCAAGACGTCGTTGGTGTAGGGATCGTCAACACTGGGATAATCGACGCTGGAGCAATGTGATGTTTTCAGATGAGTCAAGGTTCACTGTTGATTTTTTGGACAGACGTAGGAGGGTGTGGCGTCGTCGAAACGAGCGCTTCCAAGACGTTAACGTCATCAGACATGATCGATTTGGGGGTGGTTCTGTTATGGTGTGGGGAGGCATCATTGTTGCTGGAAGAACGGCTTTACATGTTGTTGCAGGGCGTGTTACAGGCCAGTACTACCGAGACAACATCTTGGCAGTCCATGTTGTGCCGTTCGCACGACGTCATGGCCGCCGTTTCATCTTCCAGGATGACAATGCAAGATGTCACAGGGCCAGGATCGTTACAGGTTACCTCCAACAACAGAACATCACCACATTACCTTGGCCGGCACTGAGTCCCGACCTCTCCCCCATCGAGCATGTCTGGGACATGCTTGGACAGAGGTTACGTCAACGTCAACAACGTCCTGCCAATGTCCAAGAACTTGCTGCTGCGTTGCAACAGGAATGGGACAATCTGGACCAAAATGACCTTAGACGTCTCATTAGGAGTATGCCACGTCGGATCAATGCTTGTTTGGCAAACAGAGGAGGATTTACCCGTTACTGACTTGGTTGTGATGCTGTGGTAACTTTGCTGTTTGACCCCGGGTATCATTTTACCCTTATAATGGTCAGTCTGTGCCTTACTTAGTCTAACGATCATATGGAATAAATCGATGAATGTGAACTTCATTTCATTTTGTCATTTGTTTCTTCGTCAGTTTCATTAGGTGACTTTAATAACACTTAAAAATCAAATATCCCCTACTTTTTTTGAATAGTATATATCACATAAAATGGAATCAAGATTACGGTATATGAGCAATTGGGGATTGTAGCACTTTGATTAGAGGGTAAGGAATCTGCCCATGCGGCCATTGGTAGATATATTTACAATTAGATATATTGTGCATTCAGTTTACAAATGTTCTCTCTGTGTCAATAATGAAATAACCTAATGCAAGCATATGTTACTTTAACATTAGTATTGTTTTTTTTAGTGAAGATGCAAACTCAAATCTTACATTCATCACATCGGATGCCAGTTCTGCCAGCTGGGCATTCCTTTAAACAATGTCCTGTCACATGATTACATTTACTCTCACGTGGACAATTACAGACTCTGACACACATCTCGCCAAAACGATTCTCAGGACATTGTTCTTCACATCTATCACCTTGGTAACCAGGTTTACAAACACATTCTCCAGACTTTAAAAAAGAAAAAGTAATTCAAATAAATTTACTTTAGATTTTCGTGGACCAATAATAAACTGGTCGAATGATATAGCTTTTCAGGTAATGTCTAGTTGAAGACATCTTGAAGAAATTTTTTTAATAGGGACAAAAATGTAATTTCTCCATTTGACATTATTAAGCCGTCAGAAATATCGTCATCAGTATTCTATATATATCAATAATTTACCTTTAAGTGAAAAACTTCACACTCTTAAAGCAGGAGTATTAGATATATTTTAGTCAATAAAATGAGTTATTTCGGGTTCAAAGGATCTTGCAAACCTTTATCCTAGTCCTGTGCAACCATCTGAAACTTTGTGATATAAATTTTCAACTTCCACAAGGACTTAGCCATAATTCCGCAAATCAACTAGTGTTATTTTCATAATAAATGCCATGATACACCATTTACAATATATTTGGATTATATGTCTCCATATAAAAAGGGCATCAGTGTGACTCTTCTGAGATTTCTAAGACGTTTAAGCTCTTGAGTATAGAACAGACGTTCTATGACTCTGTGGTAGCTTGCCTAAGCTCAAGAGTTTTCTCTAGGTTCTCCTGTTTCCTCCCACTAATACATATACCTTAGTGTAATCAACTTATAGAAATAAAGATACACAATATTCGAGTCATAATCAAACCACATGGTGAGTTGACTTTAAACCCCATTTGTCTCTCATGCTCACTCTATTTTACAGCTCCTAAAACTGGTGTTAATTCAGCCAATAGTTTAACTTTATTTTGTGCTTTTATTTATCACAAAGAATGAAAAGAGAAAATAAATAATAAACAGGCTTGACTTACTTCCGGTTGACAACCCTTTGTATTATCTACTTCACAATCACATTGTGTAGCACAGTTTGATCCCCAAGTGTAGGATGGACATGGCTGATTACAGGATGGACCAAATCTTCCTGGTCGACATTTACAATAACCAAATACTCTATGGCAATGACCACTGGCACAGTTTGGACAGATCCTGTCACAACTGCTGCCATAATAACCTCTAGGACATTCATTTTTACATTCACCCGTGACAGAATCACATATTACACCATTTGGACAATTACAAATGCTGTTACAATCTTTACCGTAGAAATTCTGAAGATAAAAATAGAAAATTCTAAAATTATTACAAAATGAAATTAGCTTGCCAGAACTATAAATTTTGTGTCATTCCTTCTGATTCATGGTAATGGTACTGCTTTTAAATTCAAATAATACATATACAAGAGTTACCCCCCTTGACACATTTTTTCATAACAAGAATGAATATTGCAAGCATTGACCATTATGTATATAAACAACCAATTGAATATACTGAACATGTATGCAGACTCTATCAGAAAAGTTAAATGTTTTATTTATTTATAACCTTTTCAGAACTTCCAGTTCAAGTACTCAGTGGAAGAACTTTAATAATGAGAGTAGTCTCCCCTGAATCAATATCTTGCACACTTGCTTCTTCACTTGAAGGAATTTATTTGCTCTACATATACATTTCTAAACAATTTGAAAAAAAAAAAACAAAAGAAACTTCACCCTGTCTGTATTCAATTATTTTTATGCTAAGAGAATTTATGAATAGACTGCACTTGTGCCTGCCCTTATTCAAACTTCAAACAACAAGGGATCCTTTACATGAATGACCAAATGAACTGGATAAATGCGAGCCTGTTAAAGAGTCCAGTGTCTTGACACCAAATTATTATGACAAACATAAATTTCTTATTATTACCTCGCCACAGGTTTCGTTGCAAATAATTCCCTGCCAACCAGCAGTACATTCACAACCTGTCAATTGTTCATTGCATCGGGCACCGTTCAAACAGTTCTTACAAGTTAAAAGACAATTAACACCAAACATTCCACCCTCACAGTCTGTAATATACAGATATAAATTATGTATCAAAGCTCTGCATCTTTATATATTAATAAGTGTAGCCTCAAAACAATGTTCTTAGATTATACATAAGAAGAGAGAAAAGTAATTAAAATAATAATTTTGAATCGACAAATATGGATTCTTATTTTAAAATTATTTTAAATTTGAAACAAGATTACTAGTAAAATGAACAGCACAGGTATACGCCATATCCAGTTGGTGCTTGTTTGTTTAAGATGAGTATTTTAAATAAGATACAAAATCAAAGATCAATCTTTTTGTGCTTTTGCCTTACTCCTTCAAGTGTATGTCACAGAGCAAAGATTTTGAGGCTACAAATAAACTGAAATTATTCCTGAACTTATATAATTAGTAACAAGTTACTTTAATTAGTTTTATATACTGCACCCAAAATAATAAGTCTAGGCTATCAACTAAGACAAAGGATCAATAAAAAAAAACATTCTTAAATAAAAACTATGGCATCAAAATAAATATAAAAGTTTAAAACTTAAAATCAAAGGATAGTTGATAAACTACAATAAAATTGTTGGATACAAAACACTAATTCTAAAAAAAAAAATCAGGTCTTGCTTCCAGCTTCTAAGGACTGTTGCATTATTGCACATATACATAATTTTGACTTTTCTGCACCAAAAACCACAAAATTATTATCTTAATTTTTAGTTAAGATATCAAGATAAAATAAGCTTAAAATTCTGCACATTTTCATTTGAAAGTAAAATGAGATATAATGCCTTATCATAAAGTGAAAATCTTCAGAAATTCAAAATCTATTAAAAATTACATAATTTAAGAAATTTTTAAAACTATTATTAAAATTTCCTTAAGACGGTTTAAAAAAAGACCAAAACAAGTACAAAAAGGTGCATATATAATTTTTAAACATCAGGGACTTCCAATTTAAAAACATTGGGGCTGGTTTTCACATCACTATGAGCTCATGCAGAATTAAAATATACAGAGCCACCATTTTCACTAAGGTAATATGGGTAATAAAATTTAAACATTTCATTACATCACAGTAGTCATATATAAATATAACCATTTCATAGACAAAGACAAAATTAAATATTTACAAGGTACAAAAAATGAATTGACAAATATCCATGTACATGAAACTGAAAGTACACTGGGACCTCCCTATGGACCCCCAACATGCATACAGTGTTACCCTCATAGACAAAAATGCAGGCTATGAACCAAAACATCATTAGATCTTTAGAATGAAGGCCTAGTGAATTCTTAGAATTTTTATAATGAAGGTCTGGTGAATTCTTAGAATTTTTATAATGAAGACCTAGAGAATTCTTAGAAATTTGATTTCTTGAGAATATTTTCTATGTTTACCGTACATGTCTGTCATGAGTTATAGAATTTTTATAAGCTAGCGTCATTTTCATCTATTCTTCCTTGAATTCTGACCAGGGATCTGTTATGTGCATGTGATAATGTATATGGATGAGTTTCAGTTTTTTCATACATATCGAATGATTAGGCAAACTATTCTGACAAGTGAGGACTTGGCATGAAGGGTCCAGAAGGTTCTTGCAAGGTGGGGTGCGCAAATCCTTACAGTGAAGTCCTTGCAAACAGTTAACAGGAATATCATTATAACCTTATAATAAAGCCTTAGTGTATATTTCCGTTCCACTTATCAGAATTTCAGTGAATTGTGCCAAAAAAAAAACATGACAGTTCGACTGCTGTTTTTGATATTCTCATATTTTATGAGTTCAACCTGTTTTTTTTATAAGGCCTAAAACAATATTACGATAAGAAATTTTTTTCAGCTGTGTGGATAATAAAATCATTTTAAGTTCCACTTTGACAAGAGCATTAAAATTGAAATAAAACCGAAAAAATCCCCAAAACTGAAAAACATTTGAGTACAAACAGGTCATGCTAGTTGTGTACTTGAAACATGGCGTCTCAACACAAAATAAAAGTTTTAATTAATGCAAAATAATCAAATAATTAAGCACCAATCGAAACTGTTTGGCATATTCTGTCTGCATGTGCATCAAGCGTTTTAATCAGTTTTATGTTTTACAAGAATGATACTAGACTGGAACAGCAACTTTTAAAATAGTTGAGCCCTATTCAAGAAAACTTAAACTGAAATATGTACATTATAAATTATATAATTTATTCATTGTACAGTGCCATTGAATGCATATATTGTAGTAATGAGCGCAATATTAAATGTAATAAACTTAAACTGAAATATTTCATGAATGCAGTCTTTTCATTATTAGGAATAGGACCCCTGCCCTAGAGTATGATTTTTTTTTTATCAAAACCTCTACTTGCATCATTCTACCTGCTTTAATATTCCTAGCTCATACAGTTTCTAGTGGCCCCAACACCCCAGAAAGTCTTTTACTTCATAAATCAGCAACAAGCTCCAAAATGCAGTTGTAGATACATTTTAAGATTATCCTAAACAGACAGAATCTTACTATATGTGGCGATTGATTACATATAAAAATGGTGCCAAAATATCTGATCAAATGATGATCAAATGTACGATCAAATGAATGATTATCAAATTCTAAAATGATGATAAAACAGATGATAGAATGTAAAATGTATGACAAAACATAAAATGTATGACAAAACATAAAATGTATGACAAAATGATAAAATGTACAGTTTATGGCAAAATGATAAAATTTATAATAAAATGATTACAAAATGTACAGTAAAATTATAACATCATTAATTAATACATAAAGAACATCTGGTAATTAAAAATCCATACATACTACTCACTTGTTTTATTCTCCTCTTTAAAAAGCAAGCATGAAAAATTGGTTTTAATATATCGCTACTCACTTTATATCCAAAACAAAATGGATAAGAAAAGCAAAATATCAATGTTAATGACTATGATGATAAAATGTATATCCTGATTTTCTAAAAGGAACATTGTTATAATATGAATTTTGAAAATAGAGAATTGAAGGTACCAGTATTATCAATCTCCAAGAGACAGTATTATGCACGGATCAAGAGTAAAAGACAGTATCTGCAAATCCAATTTCTGCATTACTAAGTTCTTTATATTTAGTTTTATAGGATGTCCGATATTCTCAATCAATTTCTCTCACTCTGCATTTTCAACAAATGACAAAAACTATATTAACTCATTCAACACTGGTGAGTATGATCACCAGTTTACTGGGCCTATTTCTACTATTACTATTCTAATAATATTGGACCCTGTAACCAGATCCAACAATAAATTCATATAATGTGGGGTCACCAAGTGACAGGATCCCAAATAATAAAAGGGTTAAAAGGTTCCCCTGGAATGGGTCATTAATGACAACCCTAAATTACATGATATACTATATTTATAGGAAAAAAAATTATGTCAATTGTAATTAGCTAATAAAATTATAAAAAGTTGTGTGACTTACTGAACTTGGCTGCCTGTTCCTGTAGTTCTTGAGATAGAAAATTATTTTCTGTTACTGGAATCACAGGAAGTGGAGTTGTTTCGAAACGAACTGCTGGTAAATCGCCTCTCTGAGGTCCGCTATCTAATCCATATTCAAGTGCTATAATTAAATAAATAATAAATTAGGTATATAATTATGGAGGGAGAACTGTAAACTAAAACACAAATATAACAAATAATACAAAACATAGACATTTCCAGAGAAGATTGCATTCAAGAGATTTTTTTTCCCTAACAGTTTACTCATACAGATTAAGTTTGACTGTCAATGTTGCCATGTTGTGGTCATGAACCGGAGGTCAAAAACTACCTGTCTACCAGAAGAGAAGGATAAGAGAAGAGATAAGAAAACACAATTTGCAATTATATCCCATATCCTGCTAACACCACAAGATAAAAATATTTCAGATATCATACAAATATTTATGATATGGGAAATGCAGAGTTCAATACATATAACAAATTGGGAAAGACTTGGAATTTAATATTAAATCTTCAACAGTGGATAGCCAATAAAAGATACTGTGATATCCCCTGCCTCACCCAAGGCACTAAAAAAAACCTAATTTGCTATTTGTCTGGAAAAACTGCAGAATGAAATATAAGCATTTTAGTATTGGGTTTTCCCCTTGATCCTAAAGTACCATGATAATTATTATTCTTACGTGTGCATCGGCTACCATCTGGTGATAATAAATATCCTGGAGAACAAGCACAACTAAAAGAACCTTCCGAGTTGACACAAAGTTGTTCACATCCACCATTATCATTTAAACACTCATCAACATCTGTAAATTTAGGAACATATTGAATTAATAGAGAAAGTTTCTAGTTTTGAGTGTAGATAGGCTACATATAAATCGGTTTAAAGTCTTGCCAACACTGGTTACACATGCTTTCCCTGAAAAGTGATGGGTTTGATACGCAAGAGGCAGAATATTATTATTTCCTTTGAGAAACACTATCTCATAGGATACCTGTATATGTTTTAAACTCACTGTCTGAAAGGACCAAGCAGTTAATTTTAGTTATGTATATATAAATACATTGGCCATTTAACACTGTCATTGATTGAAAAGGTAATTTTTGTAAAAATAATTCTGAATAAAAGAAGCAATCAAACGTCACACATATATTTAAGGGAGCTGCTGTATTCTTGTTTAAAAAATTCTAATTCCAGCAAAATCGGTCCCAACCAATGGTCAAATTACCATGTCTGTTGGATTGAATTCATCGAAATTCTGGGAGATCAAGTAAGCTCACCATGTAAAACAATTATCACAATTTTTATTGTGCTATAATGATATCATTTTTGCATCAACGTATAATTGTGTTTTAAAAATACTAAATTACGCAAATATAATGGGGCTAATTTTGTCCTGTGAGTTGTATACAGGAACGACTGGGCACTTTTTCTTGTCAGGCTCTCCATACTGACAATGGGAAAACTTCCTGGAAAATCCTGGAGAACTATCTCACCGAGTCATTGTAGCTCATACTCAGTTTTACATTTCTCAGGTCTTTCTTAGTAATGTAAGAGATATTATGCATAAGATACATATAAAAAACTCCTAAACATTCTTCCAATATGTCAAACCCGAGTCTATTATTAGTGTCTTTATCTGAAAGTTTATCTAACTTGATACTTTAAGTAGAAAATTAACGCTAAAATCACTTTCAGCAAATTACTGATATGTTCTTTTAAGATGTAAGATCAAAGAAAGTAATTCTTAGTTTTATATGTCAGGTATTTTTGACAGCTTGTTAATACTATACTAATTGGAATATACCATTTTTTGAGCACCACAGATATTTTTTAAGCATAACAGTTTCAGAAATAATGGATCAAATTCGGTAGAAATATGTCTACTATTTAAGGATCAATCTCTCAAATTCTTAGCAAATTTGTATCTCAAGAATTTTTTCACCAAACAAAAACTCAAAAAGGATTCTTCTCATTAAGAATTCTTACTGGATATTTGTAGCAACAAAACTGATAGCTATGTAAATTTCCTCACATTACATAACAAGTGGTATTTGTTGTTCCAGAAACAGTAAGTGGCTATGATGCAGATTTGATCATAGAAGCCTGCAACTCTATAAGAGGATGGTGGAGGGAATCTGTCATTCAGTATGTACTTATGAACGAAAATATCTAATTTTTCATCACTGAGAATTGGCAAGAGTTGCCAGCCAACAAGGTCCAAGTTAATAACATACCTTCACAACCACATCCATCTCGACTGAGTAGGAAACCTGTACTACAGTAACATGTATGGCCACCATTATTGTTATTACAACCCTGACTACAACAGTTCTCTCCTTCACATTCATTTATATCTGTAAACAATCAATTTAATTTATAAATAAAACACTGTTAAGACAAATAACAATAAGATATAACAATATCCCTTGATTTATAAATAAAACAAAATGAAAATCAAATGAAAGGGGGTTTAACATCCTACTTTTCTGCTCCAATCAGTCTCAACTTAAAACTATAATTTAAGGTATCTTGGTAATTATGTGACCAGAAGGTAGATATTATAATTTGTGAGGTAAACTTTTGGAGAGTTCACTAAATGTTTATTTCTCCAGTTGACACAAAACATCAGGCACAGATTGCTCAATAGATCTTTTCTGTAAAATATTTAAAAAAATCCGATTTGATCCCCATTATTTTCAGAACTAAATCAGATCAACCAATCCTTAAATGCAGTTGCAAAACATTGGTGCAGCACAGAAGAAGGAAGTAATAGGAATGGTCATCTGTAAAATAATTTTAGTCTATTGAATTGTTCATGCATTCTACTGATATGGGAAAAAGTGTTGAGAAAAATCATTCATTACATTGGTCTTGGAAAACAGGATATTTTTTGTATACAAAAAAGCTGCACATGAGTCAATTGATACCCTTGTTCTTAAATGCATACCAGTGATTCAAAATTCAAAATTTACCTTCACAAGATCTTCCATCCACTTGCAATAAATAACCTTTTCTACAGGAGCAGACAGGGCCATCAACACCATTACGACATTTGTGATCACAACCACCTTTATTAAAGGCACAACTATCGATAACCTCCATCTGGATTCCTACAAAACAGGAAATAAAAAATTGATGACCTTAAAAGTACAAATTTCATTCAACTACACTTAGTGGCATAGTTTTTAGACTTTAGCGAAATCAAGCTGCCCGAGTATGCACCTCACACGATGATGATTGTGTTAATTTTTCTACCAAACCCATTTCTACTAGAGTTAGTGTTTAAATAGCATTAGTGTACATATTATGTGATAGTTATGTTTAAATATAATGATGTTGGCCATGTTTGTTAATAATGTCACATCACTGCACAACACAACATCTGTTACCATAGTTACAGTTTGTTTATACCTTCAAAAACACAGCTACCTTTGTTTCGCTCTTTATGTTTCCCTTTTTGCTTCTTGCGTCCTTTCCTAGGTATCGCTTGCATTACAAAAACAATCAAAGTTGAAAGATATTTCAATTTTATTAAGATGTCTTATGTCTACTGATCTCAATGTCTGGTTTGCCAGTATTTCTTAATTATTAATTTAATCATAGTTTTTCGAGAATTTTCATTTTTATCAAAAAATAAATAACAGGATATGAACCAAATAATATGGTCAACTCATGGCTCAAAAAAGTATATTTCTAGAAAAACCAAATTGATTGTCATGATGTTGAGCAATGTCTTATTTAATCTGTGACTGATGCTTCTTGTATTCACATTAGTAAATACAGTAAGACTTCTTCGACATCTCAAACTCAAATGAAATATATTTACAGAATGTCATAATAGTGAAAAGAGTTGGCTTAAATGTTAAATGTGATATTTTAAGACTTGACAGAGTTACTCAATTAAAGCAACACAGTAAGACAATAAAATATGACGACTCAAAAACAGTAACAAACAAGAAACAATTTACATCAGTAGAAGACACAAACAATTACATATTTTGATTCTAATATTTCCATAAAGATATGATTCATATTTCATAATATGTTTCGTGATAAATGAATTTAAATAATAGAAGTTTAGAGGGGTTAAAGGGTAAAATTGGGGTGGTCGTATAATTAATATCTGGGGTAATGAACATTATCTAAACTATCAAAGAATTTGTTAGAAAGAGAAAAAATATGCGTGGGAATCAAAGAAAATGGACACAGGCAATATACATATATTCTCTTGAAATCTATACTAGCTTATCTTAAATCATCCTCTTTTTATTCTAATCTAGATCATTCAAAAATAATCTAATTCAACTCAGGTGTGACAAAAAACAATCAAATCAGAACAATCTCGAAAACCATAATCTATTTCAGATAATATTCCCCATGGGTTAATACTTTCTTTTAATTTTATTTTCTTAACGGCGCTACTTTATTAAGATGTTCAGACAAAATATCTGTGTTTAAAATTAACGCATTGAAACAGAAACAGGAATTTTACATTTCTTTAGATTTTTACAAGTTTTATGACGTGAGGAAATTTCAATTGCTGCTAACTACATTACAAACTTTAAAGAAGCACCATAACCATTATATTATCACAGGATCGACAATTAAAGGGGAAACGTGACAGAAGGCCAATAAAAGATGGCGGTGTGAAACATAATATAAACGGGTCATAACTTATGTTTGAGTTAATTGATAATGATCATTTTCGGTCAACTATTTATGGCGGTTTGTTCTAGGTCCATTATGCAGAAGCTAAATCTGCCTTTTTTCTGGCTTCAAATGTTATATAAATTAAGACATTTATTAACATGACAACCTCACAAACAACTCTCTAGAACATCCAATGGTCGAGATATTGAATGGATAAGAAAACCATTTAAAATGGATATCAGCTTGTTGATTAATGATGACTGTCCAAATTAGGCTGAATTAGGACAATAGACGTTACCTAGACACTTTAATACTATACACAATTGAAAGTACTTTAAAGATACTTTATGGAAAATGAGAGTAAGAGTTGCCAGTTCTAACTAAATTAGTTAAAAACTAGGTAATATAAAGGGGATATGCTGAAAATTTCAGTCAAATTGCTCCACTCTGAACCAAATTACAAGCGATTGAAATTAACGCCTGGACTCGATCATCATTACTAAAGTTGGTACGTTAAAAAACATAGTCTTGGTTATCCATTTTTGGGATTTAATCATGAATGAGCGCTGAGAAGCAGAACGGATTCAAATCCAATGAAAATCTGACACATAAGATGCCATTGAGAGTTGATTAAGGTCTTTTCATGTTAATGTCTAATTAATAGTTTAGATAACATTTCAGGCCGAAAGAAAGACCTGCAATAGGCATATTTAGCTCTTGAATAATGCATGTTTAAACAAAGAGAATTTAGGTCTGAAAAATTATTCTGACCCCTCACTTCGTACTTAAGTTACTTTTGACATTTGAGATAAATGAGAAATATCTGGATTGATGCACCTTTAAGTGCTTCCATGGGAATAATAAGATACAGAATGTGTATTTTACAGAAAATTTGTACCTAATTTAAGCGGGTATTTATATTCCAAAAACGCTACAACATTATTATTCTATATGTTTGTTGCCTGTTTCTTTTATAACCTTTAAAACATTAAATAAGAGTTCTCTTTTTTTATTTTCATGAACCAAATGCACTGTACATGTTCAGGCATTTCTGATGTTATATTACTAACTGATAAATTTCTATGATATAAAGGATTTATACTAACAAACATATACTAATTTTAGATTTTAGATTTACTTTCTGAATTAAAAATTTAAAATGACTCAAATATGATATATTACAACACAAACATCAAGTGCACTAACAGGTATGAAACTAAGATCCAATAAATATATTGTAATTGACAAAATGGTTTAATATATGAGACTAACAAATGTAAAAACAATTACATGCATATTACAAGATGCTGATTGTGTTCCGAGTGTTGTTATATCAAATGTTAATGATTTAAGTCTCTGTTCATCCAATTAATTAATATCACCATCTAGATTGGAGCCATTCATCTAATATTGAAGGATTATTGAACATGCGACTTGAGAAACTATCAGATTATGTAAATAAATATGCAATTAGGGCATGATTGATTACGTATCTAGATTGGGATTTCTTTATTTGTGTTTTAGAGTGCTAGTACTATTTATCTAGCAGTTCAGTCAGCATCAAGACAATGGTGACAAATATTTTCAAGGGATCACATTCTAATTTTAAATTTTTCATCTAGAGTTATGATCCTATAGTGATCAATACGGCTGAATTTTAAACTAAACTGAATCTCCAAATTCTGCTTAAGCAAAGACAACCTGGGGCTTTTTGCTGCTTGTGTTAGGATCATCTTGAACCTGTGTTTGGATCAGTCAGCAATATTATTGTATTCCAGATCTTAACTCTAGCAAATATTCCCAACTGACATTAAATTGGAACAATGCTTAGTGCTGACGGGATTCTGATGTAAATTATTTGATCAGTTTTTGCCAATAGATGTGACGTGATCATGATTATGCAGCATGTGCACTATGGGGAATTTCTAATAATCTACACATAGAGTAATATATGGTGGCTGAAAGCATCCATTTAGACTGTTGTGTTTGCAGATACAACGCGAGAGCCGGCATTATGATCGGCGACTTTTTCGTAATACTGGCTTAACAGCAACCCGCAACTTTCACAACACGAGAGTCGCCATTAAGACAGCACGACGAAAAGGGCACCGATTACTTTATGATATTGATGACCTTTTTATCGCTCTTGCTCAATGGCAACTCTTGTATTTTGAAAGTCGTGGGTCGCCGACAAGCAAGTACAATAAAAAAAAGTCGCCGATCGTTACCTTTTTCGCCAAGCAGGCTTATCACCGACTCTATAAACACTACGATCTAAATGGACACTTTCAGTCACCATAGTAATAGCATATTACTGTATTTCCATTTGAAACTAATTGTAGCACTTCAGTCTTCTGAATATGCTACTGGTGGGATTTGTGATAATATTTCTACAATGTGAAATAACTAATGAATTGTGGTGAATAACAGCAAATATAACAGTGAATATGTAGTTATTGGTGACTATTATCAAGTCTCTATGTACAACATTTACACAGGGATTATCATTTGTGGTTATAATTATCTGGTGAATAGTTAGTTATATGCTGTGCTATTTGGTGTGTGCAGTGAATTGGGTTTTGATTTAATGACGGCAATAATTGATAACTTTGTCTTAGTTCAAGGGACATTATATAAAACAGACAAAAACCTGGGAACATTAAAGTTTATCCATTAAACAAAAATAGTTGAATCGATTATTATTTCGGCTCAGTTCAATCATAAATCAAAGTAAATAATTAAAAGTATTCAAAAGATACTTGCAATGGCAAATATACATTTAATATAGCTTTGCCAGAAAAAAACTCCTTGCCCCAAGTAATTCTGATTTTCCTAGGAAATAGTAGGAATTGATAAGAAGAGAATTTTAAAATTTGAGAATTTATTGATGGTATGTTGTACAATACTATAATTCTACACTTTTGTACATAAATACTAACAATAATATCACATATAGGAATACATATAAATATGGGAGTATATACTTGAATGAAAAAACATAGTGTCACTTTCAGAAATATATGACAATGAGACACTGACATTTAAATTTAAAAGGGTTTGATCAGTCAAAACCTTCTCAGATTGTGTTGCTATTTCAAGAAAGTGACTATAATGCTGTCCAACTAAAGGACACTTTTCGGGGTTAACCTTTTCACGGTGAGAATGGCGATCTTCCTACCTACCCACCAATGCTTCAAAACTTTTAAGCATAATTTGAAGGTAGTGCAAATAAATCCAGCTTTATGTATACCTGTCTTCCAGAAGGGTTTATTTCCCAAGCTGGTTTATCAGGATGTCATCTAGCTGTGTCAGAACAGTTAAACCGGTTTCACTTATCATCTGTGTGAATACTACACTCGCAATGCACAAAAAGATGCCAGTCCTTTTAAACTAGCTTATAAAAGTCGTCTTAGTGGCATATAATACAATAATATCTCTGTTTCTTAAGCTCTTTCTAAATGACAATTCCCACCCCCTTAAAAGTTGAACAGCATCATAGTATGATTGAGGCAAATAAACTAGGGACACAGGAATATAATATATATAGGGGGAAGATAACTATGTTACCACTACTACTACTACCTCGTCCATTCTGGATTTGAATCTGTGAGGAATTGGTGAGTTCTGTTTTAAAAAAAGCAAGATATTCGAACACAGGCATCATAGCAAGAAGCAAGTTAGAATTAAAACATCTAGATTATTTCATACATAATATATATCAAGCTAAATTATTGTGATTGTATTATTGATGATTAGATAATCAGCAGTGTAATATTAATTAAAATATCATTGATCATAGTTCTGAAGCATATTTAAAATGAATAATCAACAAGAAATTGTTTAAAAGCCACTGATCATTCTTTGATTTTTTTGAAAATATTTAACTTTTCATATCTTAATCGACGCCAAGATGTGCTCAGATTCATTACCTAACATTTAATTAGGAAAACAAACCAAGATTCGTCATACCTTTATAAATACAAAATGGAATTTTTCCATATATGGCCTGATATTTTTATCATTTTCACATTGACAATATTATAGTTTGCAATTTTAAGGGATTCAAAATCCCCCAAATGATGATCTGCAGCTTTTAACAAAGTGAGAAATAAATGGGGGTAAAAAAGCTTTAGTAAATCTTTAATTCAGGCCTATCCTAATCTATATATTATTATTCTATATATATCATGGGGCTTTTACATTTTTGATGAAGGAGCATTGACATGGATGACTTCATGAACACTGTTCAGAGAGAGAAAGAGAGAGAATTGGGGTTTAACGTCCACTCAAAACAAACTAGGTAACTTTGGGACTAACATATGGTTCAATTTTATTTCAATAATTTGTTTGCGCGTAGGGGTCATTAGCAGTGGGAGGAAACTGGAGGATCCAGAGAAAACCCATGAGGTTGGATAGGTGACCGTACTCCTCGTCACGTACAAGAAGAGAATCGAAACCCATGCCACTTGACTCAATAACAGACCTTATGATGCAACGCTCACGCGTTAACCATTCCTCCACCCAAACCCCAACACTTTTCAGAATGATTTCTTTAAAACTTTGAATGGTATTAACCATTGTCTTAGAATATGTTAAGTATCAATTAAACACGCCTCAGAACTATACTTTTATCTTAAATGCTGTTTTAAATTCCCATGCCATAGTGCAAGTTAAGACTGTTAAATATATATTGTCATTGAAGACATTTCATCAATAGGAGCAAAACCTTTATCCAGTAAAACTAATAAATACATTTCCATCTGAGGGTGAAAACATTTGCATTTGCAAAAAGTATACAAGAAAATAAACATTACTGATTGCAGTTGCAAATGGGATGAGAATTTTCGTTATGTAGCATGAAATTGCAAGATTTGTTGGCAGAACATAAAAAATAAGCTGCAAGTGCCAAAACCTACTGCACAGCAGAAAATGTTCATAAATTTTCAAAAGTACTGTTAAAGATACAATTTACCAAAACAAATATCATTGTTATGGTTGTAAGAAGGAATATTTTTTTCTGTGTATCTATTTTTGGCACTGTTTAATTAAGAGTTATCTCAAGCTAAATATTTTCAGTTGAAACCAATAAAAATCCAATAAAGCAAATAAGTTTCACCCAACAGAAACCATTACGTTACCACAAAAATCATGAAACTATTTAAAGAGTTTTAAAGAATTTTTGCCTAATTGTCAGACTTAATTAAAGTGTTGATTAAGATGCGGAGAGGTGACTGTGATAATTAAAGGTCATTACCGGTCATCAAGACAAGGATTATAAAATGTCTAATCCTTTGTTCATCTTAGTTAAACCATGGTTCACAATTACTTAACTTAATGAACTATTGGTAGAAACTGGTCATCAACCATCTTTTTCTATCCAAATTATTTAAAGCAAACAGATATAAAAACTTCCTCTACTTCAAAACTTTTTTCTTTATGTCTGTCAGTGAGCACCATATAACCCATAAGGTGGGCCATTTAGGAACCAGACTGGGATTCCTTGGTCACAGTACCAATAATTCAAGTTTTCTTTTAATGCAGTATATTAAGATCAGTGATACTTTACTGATATCAATTGCAATTTAATGTGAACTTTGGTTTCAGTAAGACAACAAAACTGGCTCATTCAAATATTATTTTAGTGAAAAGCAATAATTTCAATGCAATATAGTATGCAAACATCTTGCTTAATCAAATTCAAGGTAAATCGATAAAATTACAATGAAAATTAATGGATAATAAACTCCATACTTACTGTAACATGATTTTCCATCTTCACCAAGTTGATATGCTGGTGTACATGTACAGGCAAATGAACCTTGAGTATTTACACAAGCTTGACTACATTGACCATTATTCCGTTCACATTCGTTTATATCTACAGAAAAGGTAAAAGAATGATATAAAACACAACAAAAACGTAACAACTTTCCAAAATAAAGGTACATTTGGTCAAGTATTTGGTTTCCTATTAATGCTTTTAGTTTACTCTTCCACATTCATTCAGTGATCTAGCCAGGACCAACATGCCAGGGATCTTGTTTCAGACATATTTGCCAATTTTGACTGACTGACATTCAAACTGACCAGCTAGAGAACTTACCTGTCAGTCAATTTACATGCCATAAAATTAGAATTTCAAAGAAGTTAACCTAAACACAGTAATTACAGTTGGGTGTAAAATCAATTTTAGATATATAAAATAAATTGGATTAATGCCAAAATGTATCCACTTTGTTAGCAAAGTATCTTGCTAATTCCAAGGTAACAGAATATGTAAATAATTGACCGACTTGCAAAGTTTTGATGTGAAAAGCCTAGAACATTCATCAGTCATTGCCCCCAAAATGTCAAGACCAACCTTCACAAGATTTCCTGTCCCTAGATAAACGATATCCTTTAAAACACTGACATACAGCTCGTCCTCGGTCATTGACACACTTATGTTGACAACCAATATTAGCATTACATGGATTGGTGGCTGAAAAATATGAGAAATCAAAATAATACAAAGTTATCTAAGGGCTTCAGGTTTTATATCTATCCTACGTTACAGAGTTTTTTAGTCATTGGATCAATCTGTTCTTATCAAAATAGCTGACATTGCACTCAACACACACACACAACGTATGCTTTAAGACTTTTTCTAGGATTTGTCTTAAATGATCAATCCATTGGTGTGACTTTGCCTTAAGGATATGTATTAAATTAGTCAATCTCAGTTTTATCAGAACTTTAGTATATTATCTCCACATGGACAAAGTGAATGCTAATGTAATATTCATAAAAATTCCATACTTTCACAACTCTTTCCGTCACGACCCAGTACTGTTCCTTCTCGACAACGGCAATGGAAGCGGCCATTATAACCATCTACACAGACATGCTGACAGCCACCATTTCGTACACTGCATCCAGAAACAGCTGAAACATACAGACATACAGAGATTAGTTCCTGAGACATGGAAGTCTAAAAGACACATACAAAAAGATGACCCCAAGTCTGCTTGGCCAGATTTCAACTAAATTCTAATTTCATTGAACAGATACTGATCAACAAAAAATACATATGTTCATACAGATTCTTATTAGTAAAGAAGAACATATACAAGAACGTAAAAAATGGTTCTGAAAATGTAATGAAAAGATTGACTGGTGCATGACATGAGTAATATGTATCCAAGTGGTATATGGTACCACCGACGCCAAATATACTTTAAAACTTTAATTCATGATTATCAACTGCTAATTAGCTAGGTTTCACAGAGCAATTTAGTGTTGATGCATTGACATTTTGAATTTTCTATTCCTATTTTCAATCATTTCTATATCATGATGTTTCCTTTTCCTGTACTAGTAGCCTATTCTAAACTAAAATTCTCTCTCTACTACTAAAATCTTATAATATCAAATAAAATATTTGGTGACAAAACATCAGAAGAGTACAGGAATAAAAAGGCAATAAATACATTCACCCAGTAAAATTTTACCAATGGCCATATAATTTTTCAAATTTTGATTCTGTATGATGTTTTGTCACTACAATGTTCCCAACAAAACTCATCAAGACCAACTGGAAATTGGACACACTTTCAGAAAAATATTAGAAATCTGAGAATTCTTTTCATAAAACAGACCAATAAAAGAATTTCAAGTGAACCCAAGTTACAAGAATTCTGAAATTCTTTTTCAGGAATATACAAAACTAGGCCTTGTGATATATGTTTAACATAGAAATCTTAGGAGTAGTTCTTAAGATGAGTTTTGTTGAAATATTCAGAAAAACAAAAATAAAACAACTAAATTCAAGAAATAAAATCATCATTTTGTTGTTGGTTAAATTTTTAGTCTAACAATGCATACTGAAAGCACAATTGCTTGGGTGTCATTTATATTAGTCCAACATGGTTAATTTAAATGTTGTCTGGGGTTTTTTATCAGACAAAACAAATTTGACTCTAAATACAAATAAAAAGGTTAAACAAGGAAATAATAATAATTAAACATTTCTACTAAAACTGAAAATAAAAACAAAATTTGAATAGCAATGTTAGGAAAATAATTATCACGGAAATTAAAATAACATAAAATATTTATGTAAACAAATAGTCATGCAGTTATTCTTTAAGTTGACGAGTTTGTTATGCAGGAATTTGGGAAATTGTACATCGACAATACAACACAGATTACTGTGAAGCGCTGTGCGTTAGGTTGAACGCTTCGCTAACTGTGTGTAAGACAAAGCGCAATTGGTGTTCAATTAAAAAGTAACTCCATAGCCATTGGTCTAATATTTTGGATAATCCTAAAATTAACTAATGTGCTATTTAAAAAGTTGGAACTTTAGGGTATTTTAATGAGAATGGTGCCACATGAGAATGGTTTATTAAATAGTGTAGAAATGAACCAATATCGCAAAGACAAAACAATTATTTTAAGGCATGCATTTGAGAAAAAAATCTGGAATTGATCTATATCAGATTTTTATTTCTAACAAAGTAATAAATGTGAAATTTATGAATCTGTGTAAAAATTGAACCAAACTGTGGTAGTTTTTAATCTTGCTGGTATTGGAACATAAAAATGCCCTGGCTTTGACTTCAAAGATGAGGTGATGTATGAAATGCTTTTGTAACAGTGTACCAAAGGAAAACAAATACCACCCATGATCTTGAACACAATGTAGAACACAAAATAAAAACAATGAAAAAAACATAAATTAACACTATGAAACATTTATTGATGATGATATTCGACAATAACTGAAATTAAAGATTAATAAAAACTTAAAAATATGGGACATGAAAACCAAAAGATAAGTGAAATATGAAAATATATTAGTAAAGTTAAACATGAAATATCTGCAGTAAATATTTTTGATCCTTTCAAAAATCTGTGATGCAGAAAAATAACACATGGACTGTATATGAAATAAGGGAGTATGTGGTGATGCTTGGTAACAGAAGTGAAAATATAACATAAAAGGGTTCTCAAGTTTAATGGATTTATGAACATTAAACAAAATATTATCTTTATTTAAATTGTCACCATCGTCATTTGCCACGCTTTCTATCAAAATTTGCTTTTGTAGTAACTTTATAAAACATTCAGTAAGCTCCTGGTATGTTTTCTTTCCATTATTTGAGTAATTTACTTTAAAAATAAACATTTGTCATCCTTAAACACTTTCTTTCAAGACATGAGAAACTAGGTTTCTGTTTTTCATGCTTAAATTATATTTCTTTAAAATTCAAGTCGAAAACGTTTGACAAATAAAAATAAATGAAAAACAATGATGAATTCTTATTCATACATTAACTATTTGACAGTTTTGCTTAATCAGATTCCAACTGAGAAAAAAGTTTTCACTCAAGCCCTCGAGAATCTGCATGTACATTTGTCTAATTTTTACTACTACAACAATTGCAAATTTTGTTAGAAATATATCTGCTACAGATGATATAACATGTGAAATGAACATTTAATTTAAAGATATGTTGATACAGTTGTCAGTAGGCGGTCAATTTAAATTTCTAATCAATCTTCTTAATTTATAAAAGATAAATTATTTTTGCAATTGGTTGCCAATCAAAGACAAAGTCTGTCTTGGTACCCATTTTTGATACACAAAAATGGGTTTTACCATAAGAAAGAACTCTTTAAATCATGCCATGAAAAAGTGCCATTCTCAAGAAGAGACCAAGGTTCCATATTTAAATAAGAAATTATGGAAAAGCTGGAGATTGAAAGGCGAGTTTAAAGAGAAAACAACAGAATATAAATATCTTTAAATAAAAGAACAGAACAATAACAGATGAAGACTTAGAAAAACAGATTTCCCAACAAAACAAGAGCATGATGCCAAATGCAACAAAACAATGTTTGGTGCCAGGGAGTAAGGGCGCGGTCTGAAACAAAAAGAAATTTGAACAAGAGTCTTACCTTCAGCTGCCCAAAAATCTAGGATTACGTTTGGTTTATTATTCAAACTTAAAAACACGTTTAGGTCATTAAAATGATTGATCATGCATCTTTAGTCTTACAGTTGTTGTTTTGATGGATGCAGTCTAGAAACTTATACACAATTGTGTATATCAACACCTACAATATATCACTTTTTCTAGATGCTTGCAGAAAAATATGTTTATTGCTCCATGAAGACATATGAGCTTTTTGCAATTTTAAATTATTTTCAGAGTAAATTTGATCAACTTTTTTCTTGAATGACATAGTAATACAAATATACATTAATACGGCCTTGAACTCACAAAAAAGCTACATTAACCAAATGTTGAGCCAACATCTGCCCTAATGTCTTAGTTTTAAACTCGAATTTAAGCATTTTCAATTTCAGAATGAATCACGATTTTGAAATGTATATTGTCAAGAAGGACTACAACTATCATTAGAAAATAACTTATACATGGAGGTCATGTAGGGTACTGGTAACCTCCCTTACAGTAAAAATACACCCTCATCTTTAATATGATAGCCCCAATTTTCATACAGCTGCCATAGTTTTTAAAAGATTACTGAAATAGTATGCATTCATAAAATTCACACCACCCCCAATCGTAACACAATAGCCCCAATTTCCATAAGGCAGCCATATTTTTATAATATTATTATTGAAATAGTATGCATTCATTAAGTTTACATTCTTAATCCAAAAACCTAATGAAACCCAGTGTCACCAACATATGTCGTGCAAGTACATCATTTGTGTGATGCTGGTGCTTGAACTGACTGCAATAAGGAAATAATTTTTCTGCCATCATTGCTTGTTGTTGTTTAGCGATACAATCATAGGTTAAATAGTTGCCATGCAGTGCAGATATACATATTCATTGTTCGTGAGACTTCTAGATGACATTACATGTAGTTCAGCTTATATACAGCATTCATCATAACATGGCCTCAACCTGCTGAAAGATGCTAATAACCGCTTTACCTCAAAACATTTCTTACAGAATGCAATTTTTTATTGTTTGCAGCTAATGCATACACCCAATGAATCCCACTATTATCCCTTCATAGCATAACATTCAGACCAAAGACTTCACTGAACATCCCTGTTTCACCTACACCTCCCAACTCTGCAATGTGTGAAATCTTACAGAAATATTAGTGATACATGAAAAAGCTAATACTATCTGGGAAATTAAAATGGACAAAATAAAAGATATCATTGTGCACTTGCAATTTGATGGTTTGAAAATCTGACTTTTGGGTGAGCCAAAGGTGCTGGGAAACCTTTTTTTTTGATAAAGTATAGAAAGCATATCTCAGTCTACAGTTTTCGAACAAGACATCAGGTCATTAAAAAGTATTTTAACACAAAAGAAACCGTAATTTGCAGAGGAACCTCCTAGTGCAGGAAGGACAAGTTTTGGTGAAGGTGTTGGTGAATCAAAAGTGTCATTTTAAAGATCATGAAGCTATATATCTTATTTCTGTATAAACCTACAACCAGTTATCCTAGATTTGTGAAGGCATCCAGTAAAACTCTTGTGATTTTGTGTTAGAATTAAGAAAGGTACAACATATGCAGGGGCCAACAACTTAAAAATTAGAGTGCAACGGAATCATGTAAAGTAAGTTCAGCATAAATCTACAATTTGATGTGGAATAAACTCAGAATGTGATCTTTGATTACCATTTTCTAGAACACCTGATACCACTTCTCATTTTGCATGTTTGAACAGAAAACAAATGGTCGCTATAATTTTGTAAATGACTACATTTAAGTGATAACAATTCGGATTTTCTAACATGTATGTACTATATTGAAACTGAACTAGTGCATTGAGAGGAATACAGTTAAATGTTGGCAGTTTGAGATTCTGAATTTTACTAGTCGAAACAGAAGACAAGAACTGACAGAATGGAAATGCCTAACGCTATTTCAGGCTCACAACATTAAAAAGATCGGAAGTCAGATCAGAAATACTCAAGAACTAATTCAAAGAATGAACTCAACCCTAATTATAGCCAGACAAAAGAATTCAGAGGATTATGATCCTAATGCTATCAATTCTGATCTATAGGACATCAAATTGTAGCCAAGCCCAAACTAAGTTATCTTAACTGTTCTTACTTCCTGGACATAAAATTCCACATAACTTAATAAACATATGCAGCTGATTGGGCACAGATCTGAAATTTGTGCAGTTCTCTGGTATTTCTAGATTCTTATTAAAGTTTTCTTGGCCCTGAACTATCAATTTCTATATATTTACAAAAGTGTGGAACATATGATTATGAATAAAAGTAGGTAAAACCACACAGTCATGTGAAGTTAGAATGTTCCAAGAAATAAGAATCAGTTAAATTGATGTTAAGAAGGGGGGCTATCCACTTGATGATTACCCTTCACTTTCATATCAATGATAGCCAAACTAGGTTTGCTGCTCCGCGGTGGAGGTCGCAACACTGGAAAGAAAATAAAAATACAAAATTACCTAAATTATTTAAAGAAATGAAAAACTAGGAAAATATTAGTAAATGTGGACAAGCAATTAAAAGTATCTAAATGAGAGGGAAATAATTTGGGAGTTTAAATTAATTTAACCTGCAAATGAAACAATAAATGATTGAGGTGTTGAAATGTATATCTAAGAAATTGATTTCTAAAAAATGTGATTAAATTTTCATCTACTGTAAAATATAAAGGAATCCAACATATGGTAGAATCAAAACTGATAATTTACAGGAATCTAAGAAATCTCTTTAAGGGACATGCAATAGGATCATTTGATCCCAGGGGAATGTTGGGAAAATTTGTACCATTAAACTGGTTTCTGTGTGGAGCTGTTGTCACACGATCCATGTCCTTATGTTCTTCCGGTCCTTCAAGCTCCGATCCATACAGTGGGTTGCCATTATCAGACAGTGGTGTTGGCTTGGGAGTGGGCAATGGTTTAACATTACGATCTCGACCGTATTGGAGTTGATATCTACGATAATAATCATTCACAGGGGCTTTGGTGACAGCAGGAGTTGGAGCACGAGTTGGTGCATGCGTTGGTGCAGGAGTAACAACTGGTCTTAAAGCTGGTTGACGACCATATTGAATTCTCGGCCTGTTTCTATCAACGTTCTGGTTGGTGTAACGGTTTCGATCACGAGTTCTGTCAAGGTATACATTCTGGTTTCTGTTGCCATAACGAACATTTTGATTATCATGACGGCCATACTGTATCTGGGGTCGGTTGTATACGGTTCTATCCGGATAATAATAATCATTGGTATTGGGTATCGTGTTAGAGTGTATAGGATAACGGTAATGATTTTTCTGATATCCAATGCCTGCCGTCAAAAGCTTGTCCTGATACCTGCCGACAGCATATCTATCGGGCTTATACCGGTCTACATAACCCCCTGAAAGAGGCTCATTAGTATTATAACGTGACCGGTCATTAGCACTCCCTTTCGTCAAAACAGTTGGCATTGTTTGGTATGCAATCTTGTTTTCCTCTGAAAATCAAATATTAATATTAATGTTAATATATAATTTAAATAACGATAATTAAATTACAACATATAGCAGTATATATACAGAAATATGAATAAGTAGCATGGATAAAATGAAAAGATTACTATAATGATCAATACTAAAAGTTAATAATTATACAATGTAGCTCCACTACTAATATACATGTACTGCCATAAAATGTGTCTCCACTACTTTACTTAACATCAGGAAATTAATATAGACTGTCCTGTTTGATAAAGAACACATTTATAAAATGTAAAACATTAATGTAAGTTTCTGGAAATTGGGGAATGAACAACAAAACAATCAGTGTTAAGAAATTGCACGACCTGGAGAAAACCATTCACCCACCCAGCCACTCTCGACCTCAAAGAACTAAAAATTGTATTGGTTTGGGGCAATGATACTATTTATGATTTTAAAAGGGTAGGGGAAAAATGGTCAATTTCAAAATGTGCATCCAATTTCTCTTTTGTAATATATGATTTTGATGGAGCAAATATGTACTCTCTTCCTCAGAACTTAATTAAAGTATTTGCACAATTACTCTTCAGTGGTCACACCCGTTACAAAAAGTAAACTCATTGGGAAATCTAATACCCTGTGTCTGTTATTTGTATGGAGTCCCTTAACCCCATACTACATTTTATAATTAAAGCAATCAAAATCTAAATTGTTATCCAGCCCATCAATCACTCTTTTCTTTTGTAAATTGTTCTACTCGATAAACAACAAATATCAGTCATTATTAGCTTATCATTCATTCACGGACATTAATTGATAAATATTGATTCTTGCACAGGAAATAAAAAAATTCCGTCACACACTTGATTTTTCTCCTACAATAAATCTCTTTGTTCAATTAAAGCTTAGGCGAGCTTTTTTGTTCTAAGTAATGGCTGTAGAAATATGCTGAACGACGTGATAACCATTATTTGAAAATGATATCGATAAGCGTACATGAATTTCGTTTTTTATTTGACAATCAACTGGAATATATTGGAATGAATACAAAAGGTAAATGAGGTATCGTGTTTACTTTTAATGAGAAAGTATTTAATGTCAGCATTGATAGGGTAAATCTATAAATCACCCAATATCCATTAATATCGATTTTATACCATTCAAAGATTAGACAAGTTAAATAATTTGGCGGTTACAGAAATCAAAAACTATTTCAGTCATTGATCGTGCAAATAAACCATGGCTAATGTGGGTTTTACAGTTCTCCTAAATTTACAACCAGCCTGCTTCAAACAAGATTTGTGTAATTATTTCAACCAAAATAACCTCCAAAACCCAACCCCCTTTTCACGATCACGAAATCATAAACCCCTGAAAATAATTAAATTAAATCGGATTGACTTTCACTCCATAATTATATTTATCATGACATCAAGTAATGATTTCAAATTACATCCTCTTGCAGATTTCCTGAATTTTAGCTCATAAATTACTGAATCCATATTATCCGAAAAAATTTATCCATAACAATTATTCTGATCCTTGGATTTTGTTTGGGGTTTTTTCTTTGATTTTTGCACCCCAAAATTATTCCATATCTGCAATTATAGATTTATTTTAGTTCAAAACAATTGTGCTAAAAATAAAAAATTCAGACAATTGCTAGAAAATATAATCATGATGCAGCTTTCCAAATTCGTATTTGAGTCATTCATTATCATCTAGTTCTGGGAAAATTTTCCTTTTCAATATTCTACATCAGCAAAAATAGATTACTTTTATGTTAAAACATTGATATTTTTTATGAAAATATTCTACACCAGCAAAAATAGATTAATTATAAGTTATAGCATTAATATTTTTTTCAAGTGCGAAAAAAGACTGGACTATAAAATCCACCACTATACTCTTTAGTTCCATGAATAGGTCTTTGTTCTAAAATACAGATAGTTTTATTAGAACCTCAGATTAAATATTCCAACAATGCTTTCCTTTTAGGCTTTATATGTTATCTGAAATTTTTATCACTTTTCTATACCTTACATTACTTTACATTTAATAATGGAATTGCATAAATTTATCTTAAAGGGAAATGAACACCATCACAAAGTTCAAACAATATCAATCCATAAGTTATAATATAATAAAATTTGGTAATTATTGGAAATCATCAACAGTACTTTCAGATTTAAAACCAGACACAGATAATTAAAAAAAAAACTCTGGGACCTTGACAAAATTTATTTTGCAGTCATCCCTGTCCCATCAAAAGATGAAGTGCTATAGTCTGATTGTCTTTAACTCTAAATAAAGTATGGTATATGTATTATAGTGTCCACATAGTTAGATATAGAATGATTATCCATAATAGCCGCCAAGTTTGGAATTTTTCACAGAAATCCTGTAATAACTAATTGAAGTTTCTTTAAATCGTATTGTCAAAGTCGGCACAGAAAGGCCATAGTAGTATTCATAGTGGCAGGTTTCATATTGATTATCTTAATATAGGACTCGTGTAGTTATATTTTCTCTGATGTAATAGTATGTTGATTTACTGATTAGTGATTTCTATATAGAATCAATCCTGCTTCTGTCACACATGCAAGTACCATATACCAGAGTGAATTATCATGTTTCCAATAGCATCTTTAGTGCTCAAAGGCACTTTTTCAATAACAAAATATTTTCAGCAAAAACAGAATGTATATTTGTAAAGTTTGCATTTTCTCTTATCAAAAAATAAAAGATGCATAAATTATAAGCACCTACTGTAGTCCTAAATATAGGTTATTGAATACGTTGCCATATCTGTCATAATTTACAAAATTGACTCTTCAGAAACAGAGCTTTTGTACAATAGCATGAATCTAAACTGTTATGCATTAGCAAAATCTGTATACAACCTTTTGATTCTGCAGCATCAATATATCTATCTTTTAGTAATACGTGTACAAGTGGTGTCAATGGAGGCATGCATGTTGATTAACTGGTGACCAGTTTATAAAGGTTGTGAACAAGGTTATTCTATGATATCTTTTTAACAGCAGTCTGCAACAATTTTCCCTCACGACCATAGCAATTTTATGATTACCCTAGATGCCCATCCTGTTTGGGTATTAGTGTCATAACTGCATTTAACTTTCATCATTGACTCAACAGTAATCATAATCGTCTTTAAATAGTGCTGGAATTCCTACCAAGTGCCTGCTCATTTTTAATAAACTGAAATCATATTGTTGTCTGTTCCATTGACTGTTGTTGGACTTTTATCCAGTAGAAAAAGACAATACAACTATATGTTTCTAGTCAATCAAGCATGTCTCAAGGAAATGAAGTCTAATCTTATAAAAACAGTGAGAGGGAAATCATTGATCAATGGGGAGTTTGATTTCAGATGAGTTGATTATCAATAAGCTAGTTGTTGTTGACTTTTCATAAACATGTAAATAGCCTAATTTGATTTATAAGAAGTGATTGAAATGCTGATAAAATCAGTAATATTGTCTTATTTCACCTCACTTAATTTTCAAATTTTAAAGAGGAAAAGGTCCGATTTTGAAATTCTAAAGAATTTAATTTTCAAATGTTTCAACTTGACATAGGTAAATTAATTGGCTGATTGAAACCATGAAAATAAACCGTCAATAAATATAATCAATACAGCTACCATTCACAAACTCATGTATATATGAAATACTTTTGAGAAAATGTCAGAATTTATCACAAATCATCACTATTTTAGAAATGAAATGAAATGGGGTTTAACATCCTACTGTTCTGCTCTTAACCTGGGCTAATGAAGATGGGCATACGCCATACAGTGTGCTATGAGGGGAATTTTGCCCGGGCAGCGGAGCTACGGCCTACTCTTATATCGAATTCCAACTGCAAAGGGATCTTTTACGTGCACACCAATGTATACACGGGACCTCGGTTTTCCGTCCCATCTGAACAACTAGACAGCTGTCCTTGCCAGACCCTCCATCCTGCATCACTAAAAAGGGGAAACTTCGCCGGAAAACCTGAATGAACTTTCTCGGCCATTGCAGGGATCGAACACCCGACCTACAGGCTAGCGAGCCAGCGTCTTACCCACTAAGCCCCCCCCATTATTTTAGAAGTTCAATGTTAAATCAGCTTTTTCATGTCTGGAGAAGTTCAATATTCAGTCAGGTTTTTTCATATCTGGTGAGTATGAGCATTTAACATGATCACTAAATTCATCGCTTTTCTCTAATCTAAAAAGATGTGATATAATGTGCAATAAAATGCAGGTGCTCTGCTAGTAAATAAAGTGTAATTTCTATAATAATTGGTGTAGATGCCAGTGGATTGTGATGTAACAGATTTTTACACTACGGTTAACTACAACTAATTCTTCATTGAAAATAAGAAAGAGTGCAAAATCTAAGCCTACAAATTGTCTATTAAAAAAAAGAGAAGAAGACGATATTGTTGTCAAAGATATCCAGTACTGTCAGACCTATATTCTCTAATAATCTTTGTAATCTTGTTCGACCGCATTGAAAATTCCTAAACCAGTGAAGTTATCTCCTCTATTGCGCGATTTCATACCATGCTAATTTACTGATTCAACTTACTAATGATCGCCATCCTTTAAAATCTGTTTGGGTTGCAAAATTGATCAAATACTTGATCAAGTGGAGTTATCTCCTCTACTGTGCGATTGTCAGTCGTATCAGACTAATTTATTGATGGAACTTGTGATTGCAATCCTTTAAATCATGTTTTGGGTCACAAAATTGATCTAATATCATTAACAAACCTATTAACTGGTATTACCAAAAGCCTATTTTACTTTGATACAGGTGATACTAACTCCTAGCTCCTATTAATAAATACTTTCTTGGCTGTTAATCATGAATTATCCTCGAACTCAATGAAGTCATTAAATCATATTGAACAAAAAAAAAAACACTAATACACACAAATCAGATCCTAAAACTAATAAGTGCCTAAAATATTTTTACCATCTTTAGGATCTTTGCCTTCTGTACCATTATAGCCTGTTTAAAATAAAGTTTTGTGTTGAGAAATATCAATGAAAAAGGAACAGGTGTTTAACACTTCGTTACCACAATACTTCCGACTCGAATACAGGTATGTTCATTTTTGCTTTGTATGGTTTCTTAGATTTTACACAAATCTTCTTTGAACTGCTATTGTTGACACTAACAACTCAACTAGTTGTCATTATTCCCCCGCCCCCTTAGTGGGAACTTAGCTTGTGAAATCCTAATGGTTCTTTAGAACCCATCCAAGGATCATAATTATGGGCTATGTTCCCTAACCCCACTAAACAACCAAAGCCTTGCCTTGAGATAAATGATGTACTAGTTATACTGAATATGTCAGAAAAGAAACTACATATGATAGGGTTTATGTAATATGAGAAAATGACAAAACAACATTTATAAAGCCAATAAAGTTATACAAAATAATATATCTAAGGAAGTCATATCTCATGCTGATAAAATTTATGAGATCATGATATGAAAAGTAATTGATAATGTTTCAATAACAAATTGTAACAATTTCCTACATGGCAAAATGATTAATACATAAATTTCAGACGAGAATTACATTGATTTATAATCAGTTATAATAATAATAATTGAAACAAGCAAGTTAAATGAGGCATAGAACAAACCATATATTTAACAAATTAAATAATTAGAATCATTTCCTAAGAAATATGTATAGTACTAGTATGAAAAAAAGTGTTTCTAAAATGATCATTTTTTACTGAAGATAGAAGATACATGTAAGTGAATTTTATTTTATGAATTTTCCATGATGAGGCCAAAACAATTTAATTTTTAGGTAAGGGTCTTGATAAATAAATAGTCACCAAAGTCTCTTAAAATAATCTTTTGTTTAATATTCCAAAACTTAAGAGGTACTAAAAGATTTTTTTGCAAGCAACAAAGTATTTTTTCCCCACCGCAAAGAAACAAACTTTAAAATTCAGTTTGGTTTGGCCTTATCAATTGTACGCATCTAAAGCAAAAAGCTTTGATGAGCAATGCCTTTCACAGATGCTGCATTAACATCATCGTGCATTCACCATGTATGTTTGGATGATTTCCTTTAGTTCTTTAATTCAAATAGTCCTGTTTATCAACACTATTTGTCCATCACGTAACATACATGAAATGAATTATAAACTAACATTAAGGCAGCGAAAATAATTAGCAATTCAAATTCCTGACAATGTTCTCTGACTTTAACATCAGGTATATGATAACTTACTATATCTATAGACATGATAAAAGAAACCTTACCAATGCATGATCGTCCATCAGCATGTATCCGTTGACCGCTTGGACATTCACAGGTGAAGCCACCGTCCGTATTGACACATTTATACTGGCACCCACCATTGTGATTACGACATTCATCAACATCTAGATAAACAAATGCCAAAAAAAAATATCTACTTGTATCTACATCTAATAAATAAAGGTCTGTTGACTAAAAAAACACACATCAAATATCCTACTACACTTTATTTCTAATTGTCTAATTGAATGTACAGCATTTCAGCCACTGATGCTGCTATGGTCAAAACGTCAGACTACCATCTAAAGGTACTCTATAGTTTGTTTTTTTACATTGGGATAGGTAGTTACCAGGACGAATGCTCTTTAGAATCATAGTACTCTACTCTAAGGATGGTTTCACTATTATGCAAGGCCAAACTGTAGAAACTGTGAGGCAATAAATATGAGCTGTTTCAAGACTAATTCTGTAATGGTGCTGCTTTAAGATTTGCTATCAATATTGAGATGACCATTAACCAAGATCTTCACAATATGCTACTTTTCCATTTCAAATTACATGTATGACATTGTAATTTAACTTTGAAATAACTATTGGAATGGAAAGGTGTGTGACGTCTGCTCCAAACTGACTATCAAAACAAAGACCTACATAATTATTCTAATACCATGCCTATATTAAAGAAAGTGCACATGGGAACTAACCTCGACACCGTCGTCCATCTTGAGCTAAATTGTAACCTGCTGGACATTTACATATGAAAGAACCAATCGTATTGCAGCATCCTTTTTCACAACCACCATTGTTTACAGCACATTCGTTGACATCTGTAATAAAAATAAAAATGAATAATACGTTTCAAATTGTTCCAATGTTCAGCAGTAGTTACAGTACTTGATCCCCATGTTAAGTCTTATTAAAATCTCCCTGATAAGTTCATTCCATTCAATTTATCAATGTAATAGTGGGCACTTAAATATTTCATCATGCCCCACATTTGGTATATGTTATGTGTTAAAATTCTACATGCAACCTTCCATATATTATTCATTCCTTTTTTGCTGGTCATATTTTTATAAACATGGCAACATCCACAGAACCCTCTAAACCAAAAGGGTCAAGTACCTCGATGTAGTTGACACTTAAAGGAATGAAATGAAATGGGGTTGAATGTCCTATGTGTTCTGCTCTGACATAATGAAGGCGGTCATGTCATACAGTGTGCTATGAGGCAAATTTTGCCCGTACAGCGGCGATATGGCCTACTCTTATATCAAATATCAACTGCCAAGGAATTTTTTACGTGCAAGCGAATGTGTGCAGGGGATCTCATTTTCTGTCCCATCCGAATGACAAGACAGTTGTCCGTGTCAGGTCATTATTCCTTCATTAAGTCTCTAATTCAGTATCATCCACATTCTTCAGTATTGCAAACACGACTGTTGGTCAGTTTGAATCAACATTGATGTTGTTATCCGGGAAAAGATGGACATCTGATATCCAATATTTAAGACAAAATGAACATTTTAAAATTGGCACACTAATTGCGTGCCAGAATGCTTTTCAGTGCCATTTGTAATGAAGTGACTTGATGAACGAGGCTAAACATATTCCACATGCGAATACTACCAGTGTAGACTGGATAAACCAGATGTGACCTATTTGTGTCCATTTCTAGGTGCCAAAGATTAGAGATTTGGCTCCTTTAAGGTCAAATTAACTTTTTGAATTTCTAGACACAATATTGTATAATAATTAGTGCTGTAATTCTCAAGGTCTTCATGCATTCTTGAAAAGATCTCCCTGACAAATGTTTTTGTCAAAAAATTGGCATAATTTTAAAAGGCTGTGAAATCAATTCCTGAACTTTTTTTGCTGGGGTAATTCTCTGACATACACATACATTTAACTTCAGAAATGTAAACACATCATAACTGATACTTCACATTATCTTAAATGCTTTATCTTATTTTCGAGTTAAAACATAACTCACTACATCCAATATTTAATACCGATAGATTCTTTCAATTTCTATGAATTTCCAGAAAACAACTCCAAAACTGAAAATGTTATCTTTCACCCCTCTGAATTTTATGTAGGAATTAATGTGGCAATGCCAGTTAATGCAATCCAACACAATGTATGTATTAAATTATGCAATACACGTTAAAAAAAACCCACTAAGACTGACATCAACAGCTGCAAAGTGGATGATTATGATGAATTAGAAATATAATAAAAGTACTTCAGATAACTTTAAACACAGACACATTACAATTATATTAGTGTTTTTCATAAAGAAAAGGGAATGGGGATTTAATGTGCTACCTATCTACACCAATTTAAGGGTTCATTGATAAAACGTCAATGAGTACACCAGTATACCATTGGCTACATGTTAAAGATCCCCCCATGTCAAGGCAAAATTCCCATCATAGCACACTGCATGATGTATGACCTTATTCGATTAGCCAAGTTGGTGCATAAATGTAAATTTTATTTGAATAATACTGGTTGGTTAATATCTTGTAGCTTTACTATATAAGGGAGTTACATTAAAACATTGTCATATGGTATGGTTTTTTAGTTCAATTTGAGTTTATGACATATCAACTTATTTTTTCCTTCATAACTCTGTAAAAATTTGAAATCATCAGTTTTTACAAAATTGTCATGACCTGGAATACATCTAGACATGTCAGGAATATTCCACACACACATTTTATACAGTTTGTGGTTCAGTGTGCTGTCTTTCATAACAAATCGAGCAATGAAATAGTTGAATTAATTAATTCATAGCAGACATCGGCTATCCATATTGATAGAGTAATTTTATCAGATCAGTTATAGCAAATAGAATTAATTAGAGAAAATTGTTTTATTTGTGAAGTGTTGGTGTGTTGATTCTCCGAATAGACTGTTGACTTACTATTACCGTATCTCTAGATATAGAAATTATATCAATAGTGGTTAGTGCCAACTATCTAAAGACTAATAATACAATTACAGGACATATCGCAGGCAGTAAGAGTTTATTAAAACCCTTTTAAAATGTGATGACATTGAGCTGTGATATGATGAGAAATCATGCACACCATGTTATCAAATATAAGATAAGATACTCATAAACTACTGCACTTTAATAACATAAAATCTATAACGATATATTCATATGTCATGTTAAACTGAATTTAAATTTATGTCAGCCTAACTTTATGTTACTGGCAGATTGAATTTTAATTAGAAATCAATGAATTTTATAAAATCTACAACTCTATATTCCCATGCCACGTTAAACTGAGCATTTGGGGGATTTTGAATCCTTTCCAAACTAGAATATTATGAAGTTGAATCACTAAAAGGAATATCAGTCTAAAAATGGTTCAGTTCTGTTTAGTATTTACAAAGATATGAATTAAAAATTTCCAATATAAACAAGTCAGCTCCACCTATATGTGTAACATAAAATACATTAATGGGCCTTTTCTTAATCTGATTAAATCCAAGCCAGGCATTTATCTACCATTGATTAAAGGTTAAATAATAAATTTAAGTACATTTTAGAGTGGATTAAGCTGGGAATAATAAGATATTGTCTGAAGAAATATGCATGATTGGCAACAGCACTTTCAAGTAGAGGTTTACCTGAAACATGTGCATCTGCTTCTAATCTTAAAAGTATACAATAACTATCAGATGTTGGTCAGTACTAAAACACAGACCTTAGTATGATGATGATGATGATAAATAAACACCCAGTATTTACAAATTAAGTAATTTCAGGAGCAAGGGTGGAACATAATTTGACAAGCACTTAACACAATGAATGAGTGAGTCTTAACCATTTCAGATTCTCCTTAACAAAAGCAAAATGATGCAAACACAAAAGGTATGTCATTAACATGAACAACATTGAGTCTAGTTACAATATGTCACATAATTTGTTCACTGATACAACAGCGAAAAAATTTCTGAACACCAAATCACCTGTAAACTATTTAAAAACAACACTCAGAGCTTGTTTAAAGCAATATATAACAAATATTTGGTCTAAGAAAAGAACATCATCAAAACAAGTTACTGTCTGTCAAAGAACCTTCATTATCAACAAAACCTTCAAATATATAAATTCAAAGTAAACGAACCCTATATTTGGACAAAGACAAGAACATTATTGAGACAAGTTACAATTTGTCAAAGGCTGTTCATTACCAACACCTTCAAATATATATATATACTTCAAGAAATAAAGCCTATACCAATTGTTCACACAAGTAAGTGTTTGAAAGCAGCACTTGTATGAATAAGAACATGTTTAAGAAGGTGGTATAAATTTACAATGTTAACAATGAGTCTGTGAGATGGTCAATAGTGACTGATGTACACTAATATATAATTGTATCTAGTAAGATGTGTTAACAGAGGTCTATTTACACCTGAAGTAAAGGTTTGGTGTTGATTTACATCCACTATTTACAACCAGTCATAATATTATTTATCAGAATAATATATTATAGGCCTGGCTAGAAGGTTATATGGTGAGAATGTCAATAGAGAGTTGCTGAAATACCAATGGTCAGATATGTTCTAAACACTTCACTTTTGAGACCAGTATGTGAAGAATTAGATGGACCAGATGCTAAGCATGGATGACAAAGTATTAAGGTCTTTTATTCCTAAAAAAAATGTATGCATTAATTCTGGAGAGATAAAATGTCATTCAAGGCAAGACAATGACTGGCCATTCTACAACCCACACCATGGTATTAACAAAAGGCTGATCTGCAAACTTGAGTCAAATTCTTCAGCTCTAACCAAGTTTGAATGGGCACCAATTGCCCATGCCCTATACTATAATATATGTTATTATACTATTAAATGGAGACTTACTGTTAATGATAATCATTCTTTTCTCATAAAAGATTAAACTTGATGCATTACATCCGTACAAGAACAGCTGGTATCGCAAAAACTAATAACCAATTATTTAAATTAATGCTTGAATGACTTTCATTAATAAAGTGCACTATCATAGTCATGAGTCATATTTTAACTCTTCTTTTTCTTATACTTGTACATATATGTTGTATCCCTAATAGCTTTTAGTAAAGTAAGGTAACACATGAAGACAAATCTTGCACCAATTAAGTGCTACTGAAATAGAATAATATAATTGCCCTCACAGTTTTTTCATATATTTTTGCAAATGTCATATTATAAACTCTTAAATTGCAAAAAAAATCTAACCGAACATAACTATCTGCCAAACTAGAATATATCAGCACCATCATTGTGATAAATATCACAGTGAAACGATTCTTTCACTATTAACAAATTCTAAATCTGATTGCAGAATGTACCATGGCAGGTTAAAACAGGTAAAGACATAATTAAACCATGTCATTTTGGTGTGATGGTTTATCTTTGCAATAGATATAATTCCGCTATTTGAGACCACCATAAAATCCACAGCTAGTTTGGTAGCAACATTATGGCAATAAACACCAAATGCATGTGTTTAGCTATTCAGCATAATATTTGAAACATGTTGCAAAGTTCTGAGAAATATGGTAAGCTAGTTGGAAAGTTTCATTCCATAGAATTTAGTACAGTTTTTATAATGAACTATGAATGCATAATCACAAACTTTACACTCTTTTTTGTAATGTATTTGCCCTCTTAAAGAATTTAGAATATCAAACTTTGATAACAAGAAAAAATGAAAACAGAACATGGATACAATAAGTTCAGCAAGCATAATAGGTCCATGGCATGGATTTAACATACATTAATTTTATTTTTATGCAGCGTTTTAATCTACTCTTCT